GGTTTTATTTTATTGTGCATCCAAGATTTTATGGATTCTTATGTAAGATCTGTTAACATATCTGTACCTTGTATCTTGACCAAGATCTTGCTTACAAGATGTTTGTCTAGGACAGCTTTCCGAACTCTTCAAGAACACCGAATTCAACTTTACACTTAAAAAGTTTATTTGATACAAACTTCTTCATACGATAAAGCCGTCACAAAAGTGGTATGGCGCCAGTTTTCGCTAAAGTAAAAGAGAGTCATATCTCAAACTGATAATATATCCTTTTCGTCTCAAAATTTTTTCAATATAATATTTTGCTTGTAGAACATCGTAATGCTAAAAGGGTGTGGGCGTTGGTGGTGTGTGGGTATTTTTATATTGAAAATGACTCCACTGCATTGAGTCGAAAGCTCTAGTAGAAATTCATTATTTATTTTATTATAAAAGAACTAGATAAACAACTACAAATTGAAGTCGAAATAAAAAACAATTTTTTCGTTTTAGATTTCGAATTATTCTTATTTTCTTATTATTTGAAAAATCCTATGACTGGAAATTTAAAACAATTCTGGTGTTTTTTCTTCTTTTATATTTTCCGTTCGTATGGCTTTTTCCATGTGCGTATCTTCTGTGGAGTGTACAACGATTTCATCGTAGAGACGCTGTTATTAAGCTACACAAGTACCTACTGAGAGTTTTGAGCGAACTTAAAGTGTTTCACATTTCGCTTAACAATCCCACACACCACTATATCTACACAACCATTTCATAAATTCTGCTTTTCTTAAAGTGATTAGCCATCCGTAATGAAAAATTCTTTTGCATCGGTCATTATTGCATTTCTTTCATTCATAGATTTTATTTAGGCGTAACTTGCTTGCCGATTGTTACAACTTCAATCAAATAAGAGAGAAAGAAATCAAAAATAAAATAGCAACATAACAACGCAACAACACAACTTTCATTTGCAGATGTATTGCTCCTTTTACAGGTAGGTAGTTATTAGGAGTATCCGCTTAGCATTAGTATTTTTAAAAGTTTAATGAATTCGTATTAGAGTTACAAATATAATTTAATGCTTTGTATTAGCATTGAATGAAAACCAGCACTAAATAATACAATACTAATGCTAAGCCGACGCCCCTAGTATATGATGGCATCAGCTCGGTATTTTTTTCGGCTTGTTTTCTGTTTTTCATGAATTTTGAGGTATAAGTCGGTAGTTGCTACTTATGCAGAATATATGAATTGAATTCAATATGGAAACCGAACTAGTAGAAAGATATGCACAGTAATATAAACGAATATGTGTTGTCTATTTTATCATGTTCTCGGCCAAAGAACTCTCCTATCAATTTGATATTTTTCTTCTTTGCAATTTCACTAATTTTGTTGTGAAGATGACTCACTCTCACACTTTGAATCTCACTCTTAAAGTAAGAGCGCTAAACTTATTCAACTTTGCTTCCGATTCTATTTTGCCTAAATTAGGGGTAGTTGCTTGTGGGAGAAAATTCTGTTATTCTTTTTTCGTTCTGCTATGCTTTCCCTTCGTGGTTTTCTTTCCACTGATGCTTGACTGACGACTGTTCTAAATTTAAGTAAACATGAGCGAAAGAAATAAAAGAAAAGACTAGTAGCACAACAATACCCTATCTATTTGCAATTTCGTTTTTTTTGCACAAATAGATGATGCTGACTTCAGTTTGCTGTTTTCTTTTACTATATTTCATGAGTTTTGTGGTTTAAACCGACGATCGCTGCTTATGCAGAATACATGAATTCAATTGAATATGTAGAGAAAAAATAGAAACCTGTACATAGCAACATACACAATTATTCATTGTCTATTTTATCATATTTTACATGAAAAAACTTTGATGTTAGTTTTCTTCTTATTTACATGCTATCAACTAGCTATTTTTCTTCGTTTCTGTTACTTTACTTCTTATATATTGCAGATATGGAATAGGTGGTTAAAGGTCGAAAGACAAAAGATCGAAAGCAGATTGTCGAAAATCCAAATCCCTTTTAGTCACAAATTTCGCCTTCACCCTCAGTGTTGTACTTTTTGCACGTGTACCGGATTACATCCTATTGATCAAATCTTAGAAAAAGATTCTCACCAAGTATTTACAAGGATTTTCAGAGGTTCATCATTTTCGGCATTTTTTATTCGACCTTTTAGCACTTTACCAAGGATACAAACGATGTGAAAAACACAGTTTTGACTATAATAGTAGCCTATACGCATTCAAGTTTAATAAAAAAATTATGAAATTGGTAGGCAATCATATCGCTTGGAGAGTGTACGCAAATTTTGATGTTAAAATACATTCTGCACAAGACTGCTGATCAGAGCGATGCTTCTTTTTCTGTGTGGAAAGAAAAAATAACATTACTGCATGCAGAGAAAACACTTTTTTTCTAAAGATTCAATAGAGCAGTAGACAACTTGAGATCGACTGCTAAGGTATCCAATTAAAAACACTAGACAATCATCACAAACACAAATTTGATTATATTTCTTTAGCTTGAACGTAAACATTCGCGAAATGATTGTGTGCATGACTATATACTATTTGTTACATTCATTATTCGTATTATCAGTAGGGGCGTAACCAGGGGGAAGGGGGCTCAGTCCCCCTACAGAGGCCTTAGCCCCCTAGAAAAAAACAAAATCCTGCGAAAGCATATGTTTAGGGGGGGGGGGGGTTACCCCCCCCCCCCCCCCCCCCTTCTACAATTTTTTTCTGGTGGTGCCCCTAATTATCATCCAACTAAAACAGTCATCACTGCATATAGAGCCATAAACCAGCCTAGTATTTAGTTTTTGTTTATTTTCCCAACATCAAAAATCAATTTGTACAAACATTTTATGAAAGCAAACCGACTTTTTCAATTTAGTCAGACTTTAAGAAAAGGTAAAATTTGTTAAATAATAGCGTCTCAGGCGCGATAGATAAATCGTATCTATCTCACGAGAACTTACGAACAACACGGTAAAAGTGAGGAAAAACACCATTAGACATTACGGCTGGCCTAAGACAAAACCAGTAAGTTGATTCGCAGCTCATATGACTCGATATACGATAACTTCAGCCCAGCCCATTCAGCTGAGTCAAAATTTTTCCATTTTTCTAAGCGCATTGTAGGAGACAACTGAGTATATTGAAGTGAAATGATTGTAGAGATAGGAAATTTTTGCCGAAATTTTCAATGCGACAAATTGTTCGAATAGTTCAGTTGAGACCACTGAGCTACTAGGGCCATCACTACCAAGAAGGATAGCCGTAGAACTTCAAGTACTTCATAGTGGGAACACTCATAAACCATAAAATCTACATGATAGTGGTAAGAGGTAGCATTCGAGGACTACCTGATAGTCCTACGGAACGACTTTTCCCCGATTTTCCCCGCCCCGTTTCCCGTGGGGGCTTCGGGAATAGGAACAACATAAAAATTGACATTCGAGAAAAATTTTCTCACATTTCTATGTGAATTTAAATACATTTATGTTTATATAACAATCGTTTATTTTCAATAACTGTTTTGATATATAATTAATAGAAAAATTAGAAATATCTCTCAAGAAAAACTCGTGACTCTCATCCCATTCTCACTTGTCCATTTCAGCACTGCTCTACATTGTAAACATGCTATATAATCATGGGCTTTATTGTTATGATAAATCTGAGAATAGTTTGTCCAAAATTCTCTTCTAGCTGTTGCTGGCTTTATAAATGAAATTGATGGATTATTTAATGTTACTAACGCTTAAATTTCAGTTTTGGATAACGTTGATTTAATAGGTTCTGCTGAAGACATTCACGAAATGTGTTATAGACAAGAATCACCAAATAAAAAAAGATTATATTAACAATAAGAAACCTCAGTTGCGTGATTAATTAGGTGATCTCCAATCGAAAATTTATTATGAATTCATCCCATAATGCATTGTGAAACGTGTGATATCGTGATGAGATAGTGTGACATGGAAATAGATATTTTAGTTGCACATGATGAAATAGTAATAGAAATTATAAAAGCATTACGGGAACGGGGATTCAGGAAACTGAATCAATAAAAGTTGTTTCCGCAGGACTCTACTACCTGAACAGTGTAAAACCTGCCAATGCACTAGTTTATATTAAATTGAAACTTTTGAAAACAATAGTTATGGGAATGAGCTCAAACATGACTGTAATAGGTTGATCCGTTACTCTGTTCGAGTGGTTGGCAATGAAAAAAATTATCCTTTTAATCTAATAATCAGCACTGAAGCGCTTTCTCTCTCTCTCTATTCAAGGTAAAGTAAGGTTGTAGTGTGTAGTCCTAAATATCTAATTTTCCCCATCTCATTTTAACTAATAAGCAATATCTGAGCACAGGTAATCCATTGCGTCGGTGCCAAATATGCATTTAGCTCTTCAAAGCACTATGGTGGGTTTCGAAATGATTTTTCCTTAAATTTCTTTCCTAGTACAAATGTATCTTATCATGAGATTGAACCAACTAGTCGTATACTTACATTCTTTGACACTGATTTTCCTTTGCTCAAACATTATGGTGCGCTATTAATTCACGGGTAAAGCCGTTGTCCAAAGATGCAAACAATGTCTGCCATTCGTTGAAACTGTTTACCTATTCTAAGTCTTCAATTCGTAGCACCAGCGTTAACTTTCCATTACTTATTGCTAGTGTTCATCAAATAGCTATTCCTTCACGAAATAATAGAATTCAGAAACATTCTGATAAACTATGAAAATAATAAAATTCTAAAAAAACCGCTTGTAGTTTTATATTCATATAGCCTATTTCGACAATATCGATCTTGCATTGATGTTACAGAAAAAAATTAGTAAAGTGGCGGTAATAGTATTTATATGTTCATCTGACTCGTTCTTTGAAACAAATATTTTTTTCAATCTATTACCAGTAGCTACTAGACATAGTTATGAATATTTTGAATATTATTTAGAATACTAAACTTTTCCACACTCGATATTGATATGAATCGTGCTTGCAGTGGTCGTCTTTGTAACAAATGCGGCAAATGTTGCGATTGGGTTTACTCTAGTTATGATAAAGGCGATAGCCAATGGATCCGTAATTGGAAGAACTGGAATCTAGAAGATTGGAAGCGTTGGGAGAATCATCGTTTGTGGAATAATTTCGAACGGCGTGATAATGCACAATGTCGTTATAGTGCTGTTGATCCTCATTGCCATTATACTGGTCTTATTTATCGTGATATTGGCTGTGCTACATGCTTGTGCGATACAACTTTCGAAGCAAAATGGCGCAACGATACTGGCGCATTTTCAACACGCATTAATGTGTATTCAAATTACTGAAAAGATACTTAATAGAAGCGTTTTAGAGCGATCCTATCAAGATTTGAACTTTATCAGTACTTTATTCATAATATTTTGTATCCGCCCATAAACTTATAATCATTCCTTGTAAAACTCTTCTGTTTACACCTATTCCCATGTTACAAAATAAAATATATCAAACATGCTATGTTTGTTTTTAAGTTGCTATTGACACCATAAGCGATCACCGAATGTTGAGAACGTATGTAAGCGCACAAACCCAACACAGATGATGACGACTGAGGTTGTTACAATGAATGTTTCTCTAGTTAATTATAGTTGGTCCGATCACTCTGAATCAAGCAGGGAATAAAAACATGAGCTTTTTCGACGTGGTACATACTTTCCGATTTACTGCTAGAATCATTCTTTACATGAATACAAATTAGTTCTATGAGGACAAGCAACACATTGACACAATCATAGTAGACATGAGACAGCAATGTAAATCTCTGGAGACTCATTCTTCGATGTTTGTTTTCGAATACGTTCCATCAGAGACTGAATGGGACGAGGATACCAGTGACTTCTTTGATATTGAGTTAATCTGGACTTCTTTGAAAGAAAAACACATAATCCGAAACAAAGCATAGCCATCATGAACTTGTTCCGTCTGTCTTGTCGAGGAGTCTCTTCAATCAAAGTTTCCCCCAAGCAATGAAAAACAACAGTGAAGCTATACTTTATGTACCAATAATGTGTGCATAGCAAATATTGATACGAAACTTTATAGGTTTCACTGTCACTATAGAACCTAACAAGGGTTCAGTATTAAATCGATTGTTTTCAGAATGTAGATATAGCTATTTAATTATATTTCATGGCGCAAAACAAAACGGCACACAGTTATTTTATGATTTGTAAATTTGCATCCGTTTTGTTTTCTTCTAGTGCTATTTTGTTTTGGTTTAATTTATTGCTGATAAATTCTATCACTGTATGTGCTAATGCTCATATTAGTATGTCTTATTTTTGTAGACTGCTTAAAACAAGTATACTAATGCTCAAAAAGCGCTAATAGTCATCTCAGCGTTAATAATAACTATTGAATGATAACATAATAGCGAATATGCTGTGTAAAATATTGTTTCAATTGCTTTTCTTTTCTTTAATATTTTCCTTTTATGTTATTCAAATCGGAGTAAGCCGTGGTTGCTAAAGTATTTCGAAACTTATGTTCTATCAACTCAATTCAAATGACAGAACAATTCTATGATATCCTGTTTTCTTAATCATTCAAGCTTATGCAATCTTGTTCATGTGAATGGAAGCACAGATCTTCTCCCTTCTTTCACTTTTCAACTATCGCACTTATCGATAGGGTGATTTTTCCTCTGCTATGAGCATACGTGAAGTGCACGTATACATAACGTGTGTATCTAACAATCTAGTATATAATGAAATGAATGACCAACTGCAAAAACAACAATATACGCAGAAAAAATAATTCACGCACGTTCTATAGTGGAGAAATGACAGCGAGATAAATCATCGATTAAGAAATACAGAAAAAAGAGTTATCAAACAGAATGATCAACAAGATTACCTGATTAACCAACAATATGAACAAAGAGCAACCACATCCAATCACGCTCTTCATTATGCTGTTGAACAACATTTACTGGCTATGAATATAAAATATGAGTCAAAAGTAATCGACGAAATGCAAGGCAACATACTATAGTAAAGGAATTATTTTGAAAAATCGAAAAAACTTTCGACATTTAAATAAAAACTATTTAAAACCACTCGGCTTCGAATACTGCTTTATAGATCGTGATGAAAATTTACAGTGTTTTACAAGCAACGTTGAACTCTTCGTATTTCTATGCAACCCCAAAATTATCCAGAAAACTTATTAAATACAATTATTTATCCAAATCCTCCAAAACTACTTCCTCCACAGCGTTCAGCAATACTCAAGTACGTGCCAAAAGATATTCATATTGACGATGCAAAAAAGGAAATATCTTCTAAATATAAAGCACTATTTAACATCGAAGAAATACAGGGAGCGATAGATGCAAAAACATTGGCATATACGCATTGAACTATCGAAACACAATGAATATACGAACTTATTAAATACAGGAATAATAGCATTCGAAGGTCAACTGATCGATGTCTCTGAATTTCTTGCACCACCTCGATTATTAATATGCTCAAGATGCAACCCATCAAGACATTTAAAAAATAATGCAAAAATGACGTTGATTTATGCCAAAGATGTAGTTGAAATAGGAACGAACGTGAACACAAAGAATGTATTATCAAATGTCACTACTGCAATGGAAACCACGAAGTTATATCCTTTCAACGTTCAATCATCAATGGTTTTCGGAAAAAAATGATTCTTGAATTAAAAAGTAGACCAGATCTTCTACCACAAAATGCTCAATTATTCATTTGTACTCAATATCGGTCTCATGACGAAAACGGTAATAGAATTCACATTAATAATAATATTATTGAAGGCAATGCAAGAACAAAACAATAGCAGCAATACATGTATCATCAGCACCCAAACAAATGGTCTCTCTTATCAAACAGCATCGATACAACATCACCAAATGAATGGTTGTCACATAATCCAAATTGAAATACTATTTGGAGCGACATGACAAGATCAAAAGCAATATTTGACTCACTCAAAGAGAAGTGCAACGAGCAAGAGATCGATATAGCAAAAAGATATCAAGAACACAAATTAAAGTTAGGATCTATTTTATCGGTAATGTCAGTACAAATCCAACAACAAAATGAAACCCTCAAATCGGTATTTACAACAATTACTGAACTCGTTCCAATTGTGACACTTTCACTCGGAATCTGCCAGCAACTCGCTACAACAACAACGTCAAATTCTACTGATCAACAAGTTAAACTACCATTTGACACATCAACTTCACAAGTTCAAACTTTAATCAACTTCCTTAATGAACAACATCAATTAATATCAAGGAAACATTTGAAATTCGTCGAAAATTTTGAGAAGAACAACCAACTGCTACAGCATGGAATTGAACTATTTACATCAACAAGTGAATAAAGATTTTTTTCTATTTGGTTGAGCCTCACACACCTCTTTCAATATCTAACTCCTATCCTGGTTCCAAACAAGAAAAAGGAATCATATCTGAAATAATAAATGAATGGAATTCTCGTATTTGTATATCCGATCAAAGTAAGGAGTGAAAAAAGAACGACCTCCTCAAAGTGATAGATCCAAATTAATGATTCTTTTGTTCAATGTGGAATGCCTAAATACATATATAGCAGACGTCGATATACTGCTAAGAGAACACAAACCACATATATGTTTACTAACAGGTGTCGGAACCGCAACAAAGAAAATGCCAACCTTTCCTGGTTATAGTGGACTATCACAAAATGGAACGAATTCTTTTGGAGGTGTAGCGATCTTGTACCAAAACTTTCTAAAATGCAAGATTATAGAAAACGACAACAACTATCTCGATATTGCTATCACTAACTCTGACATGAATAATATCGGCATATTTCTAGGAGAACGAAACAGAATATTTTCAAATATCACCACTTTTTCAACTGGTAATAATTCTCATCCCTTACCACTAGCGGTCGGTGATTTCAACAATGACTCTCTAACATATATTGTGGTTACAAATTATAATACGAATAATATAATGATATTAATTGAATATGGTAATGGAAGCTTTTCAATGTTAAAAACTTATTCAACGAGTGATAATTCTCAGCCGAAGTCAATCGCCACAGGTGATTCTAACAGAGACAAGCAATTGGACCTTACAGTAGCTAACTATGGTACGAACAACGTGTGTGTACTTTTCGGTCACGGTAATGGAACTTTCGCCAATCAAACATGGTATCCATTGGAACACGATTCTCGACCGAACTGGGTCGTCTTTAAACATATGAATAATGATGATTTTCGGATTTTTTCCAGTGATTTCCGATCAATTCCTGCCGGAAAGCACCGGAACTTGGCAGGAATCCGCCGGAAAAATCCGACTGTATTTTTGATCGGAATACTGCTTCCATGTTTCAGCGATTTCCAGTGTTTTCCTGCAGGAAATGGTGACTTCCCCGCATATTTCCTAGAGTATCCTACGGAATCCGGTGACCGGAATGCTCGACCTGGGATATACACACTTGCTTTTCTATTTTCAATGTATAGATTGCATCTCTACTCTTCAGCATGCACTAAATCATTTGATAAAAATAGTTTTGCAAATAAAACAGTGTTCAAAAACCGATGCTTTCAAGTTGGATTATGTCATAATTGATGAGGATCTCTGGTCAACACTCCTGTAGTATAGAAAATCATTTAACAGATTTGATTCCTATATTATGCTGATAGTCGCGAAGATCATAGTTCAGAAATCATTAAGATATCTACAACTTTCGATCAATCTGGATATCATGCTGAAGGTATTGATGAGTCACATCCTTAACGTCAACTTATACATATTTATTCTTTGCCATTTGCCTTTGATAGACTTCATGGCTTTACTTCATTTAATACTCAGTTTTGTTTGCTTCTATTTGTAATCTTGATATCAAAAGAACTCATTCTATTTCGTTTCGACTGCAATCAAGACACATACCATATCTCACATCAATCCACTACTATTAGGTATGCGTTCATGAAGTTGATCGTTGTTCAAAGAAAATTATTGATGAAGACATTTTCTATCACATTCATTGTCTTCGTTGCACCGTACCTTGTGGTGGCAAAGAAGGTTGCATCTCGAATAGAATTCTTCCTCAACTAACTAGATCGCGTAGCGAACTTGCGAAGCCTCATTAGTTACAGCAAGCATTTTAATCAGACAAAGTATTCTTTTCAGTCAATTAGCATGTTTGATTTGCGAACATGTTATATGAGATCATTTGAAACTTTATCACAATGTCTACCTAATTTGTCAACGCTAATGCTATCTTCCAGGGGCTCAGGCAAAACAGAGATAAGTTGAATTCTCGACTCTATCTCTTCATTAACATTCCACCGTTAAATTTTGTTTCTTACCAAATCAATCGACGGTGTGACAACAAACGAACACCATATGTAAAAATAGCCCACCAGACATTAGCTTTTATTCAGCCGATAGACAAACGTCTTCGTCATGTTCGACTCGACTTCAGTTACGAAGATGATTCGTAAACTGGATACAAAACAGTGACATTTTTCGATTGAAATAAAATCTGAATCCCTCATTCGACTACAGTCGGACAGAAAAAGTTCGATTATTTTTCTCAGTTAAACTCGACAAGCTAATAACATTTACGTTTCTTCAGGATTCAAAATAATCTATTTTTACTCGAATGTGATTAAATCAAAGTATGTAGTGACAGTTTATACAGTATGGGCCTGAATGCGAATGAATACAAGATTCGCCTTCCACATTCACACCCCTCAAAGGTTTAAATAGTGTTTCACACACCTTTTGTAATTAAGATTCTGTATTATTTAGCTATCGTGTTTTTTACGCTTTGTCTCCATAGTTAACATTTTATTACGAATTTAATTTTACTTTTTCTATTGAATCAGCAATATCTATGTTAATCCGTATAGAAAGGAAATGATTCATCCACATGAAATGTAGCTTTTCTCGTCTTTTCTACTGTAACTCTTGAGAGAGTGAAGAGAAAGAACAGCCTTCTTTTTTATTGTAAAATTCCAATGCTCATTATGACTGTATTGCGTAAATCTTTGAATGATTCTCTTTATAATTCAATATATGCTACAATAAACATGAATGCGCACGAAAAAATACAGCATTATTCTAAGTTCATTCAAATTGAATTAAAATAATAATTGATTCGAAGGCGATATAAGAATTTTCATACGACAAAAACACAAGTAAATGAGTCGGTCATCGACGTTAGGTTGTTAAACATTCTAGAATTTTCCATCAAATAATTGAAAAACAAGTATTGCCCATTTATTGATCGCAACAATATAATTAGTATTTATATTCGATATACATCTACATCATGTTGACTCCTTTGAAGATGCGATCAATAAAGTGTAAATCAAAAAAATACTTAGAGGCAACGAACTATTGATTTCAAATTATTGATGAAAGAGTGATCTCGATTTCACTCATTTTTTTAATGAGACAAAAAAAAGACGACGGCTTTTGTCGGAAATTTACTAGTGTATTCTTTTTCCGTCTCTTTCTTTCTTCATTATAAAAGAATTTAATCTGGTGATCGTGATTGATTAAGAAAAAAAAGAACGAATACTATAGATTCATTAACCATTCTTGTTCCCTTCTTTTTATTTCTTTCTTCGTCAAACTTCATTACAAAATCTAATTTTACTCTCTGCAGTATATTTTCTATTCAAAGAAAACTTGTCATTGCATAAAAATAAAACGGTGGTATTCTCTTACTTATCGACCATATTCCAATATAGCTATGCCTGAACCAAACTCTGCTGATACCCAACTACTTCAACATGTTTTTTATGGCAAGTTAGATAATTTGCCTAGTCTGGCATCAAAAATTGTACGTATTTTTACCTCATCAACATTTACAGGTAAAATAATTGAAATTATTTTTTCTGCAATAAAAAAAAAAATTTATTTATTTTCAGATACAAGTATGGAACGCAATTCTCTTATGCAACATATATATCCAAAATTGAAAGATTTTTGTCGCGAAAAACATGGTCTAGAATTTCAAGTTGTTGATATGCGTTGGGGTGTACGCGATGAAGCAACAGATGACCATAAAACAACAGAATTATGTATGCAAGAAATCGATAATTGTCAACGAGTTTCGGTTGGGCCGAATTTTGTGGTATAGAAAATTTTTAGCATATCCGTTTCAGATATGATTGTTTTATCTAGGTATTTCTCGGTCAAAAATATGGTTATCGTCCATTGCCAACAAAAGTTGAAGAAGCTGAATTTCAAGTGATTTTATCTGTATCAAGTCCAGAAGATGCTAAACTGCTTAGTCAATGGTATAAACTCGATTCAAATCATATTCCAAGTTTATTTTGTCTGCAACCCGTCAGTTCAATTTTTACCAATTTCACTAATAAAGCTCATCCGCGTCTTATGGAAGAAGATCAAAGTCAATGGTGGGAAACAATGGGTAAACTAAATCGAGCGGTTCGTATTGCTGCATTAGAACTTATGAACCAAGGTAAATTTACAGCGCACGACAATCATCGATATAATTGGTCAGGTTGGTTAATAGTAAATAAATTTTTACCGTAAAAATAAATGCCAACAATTCTATTAAATTTAGTTACTGAACAAGAAGTTGTTCGAGGAATATTAAAAGCAAAAGATATCGTCGATCATACAGTAGCTTTTTTTCGTCATATTGAAAATATTAATATTAGTTTATTACGTCATTCGATGAAATTTATTGATATTGTATCAAAACAAGTTGACGAAGAAGCACAACGTATGTTATCCGATTTGCGTGATGTTCGTGTAAGTAAAATCATTTGTTAGAAAAAAATCAAAATGAACATAAACTAAATTTAGGTACCGGCAGCTTTACCTGAATCAAGTATTATTCGATATTCAATTGAATGGTCAGATGAAGATGGTTTAAATAAAAATTTTCATGCTGAATACTTAGAAAATTTTATTAACACATTTCATGATCGAATTGTAGAATTAATCGATCGAGGTGTTGGACAACAAAAAGGTTTAGCATCTAATCGGTAAAAATTTAATTCAAGACTACTAAATTTCTATAGGACCTCATCCATCTCTAAATCCTGTAGAGCAAAACAGGCTAAAATAGTATCGACTGATTGTTTTGTTCTATAGAGAAAAAACGGCGTTAATGTTTGTTTTTTTGCTTATTATTGTTAGAGTCTACAGTGAAATTCTTCAACAACTTCATGTGGTAAATTATTTCAGTCAAGATTTTCAAGGGCGAACAGAAGTTCTAGAACGTGTACGTAATTATATTCAAGGTACTTCCAAGCAGCCACTCGTTTTATGGGGTGAAGGTGGCTGTGGAAAATCAAGTATGCTAGCTAAAGTAGTCACAGAATCGGAATCGTGGTTTCCATCAAAAAACTGTTCACAAATAAGGCTTGTTCGTTTTCTTGGTACAACACCAGATAGTTCATCGATTGGTCCATTATTACGAAGTGTTTGTCAGCAAATAAGTTTCCTATACGATGTACCAGATAGTGCAATACCAGTGGAATTATCTCAATTGACACTACATTTTAAGCGATTATTAGAAAAAGCAACAACAGAGAAACCATTATGTATATTTTTTGATTCATTAGATCAATTATCATCAGCGGATGGTGCACATTCAATGTCATGGTTACCACCAACTCTTCCAAATCATGTTAAATTGGTAAAGAAAATGTCTTTTATCAAAGTTATTATTGCAAAACACTAATAATTATAGATCGTTTCAACACTACCTGGAATATATAATATATTAAATACACTTCGAAATCTTATTGATAGTCGAGAAAATTTCGTACAAGTAAATATGTTTTTCAGAATTAGTTTCATTGTTATTGCTGTTTTTTTTTAAATTTAGATAAAACCATTGGGTGAAGCATTAGGCAAAACAGTCTTACAAGCATGGTTAGCTCGTAATCATCGAACAATATCCGATGCACAATGGTTTGGGTTTTTGTTTTTGTTTTTGTTTCTGTTAATTTAATTTCTACTGTTTCTAAATCTAAATTTGTTTTAAATAAAATAGGGAATTAGTTCATGAACGTCTTGCCGAATGCAATACACCGCTATATGTTAAATTAGTATATGATGAAATAAAACTATGGAAATCTTTTACAAAAACTCAAGAAAAAGACTTAGCTAAAACAGTATCAACATCAATCAATAAACTATTAGGACGAATTGAAAATCAACATGGGCATATTTTAGTTGAACATGCTCTGTCTTATATAACAGCATCAAAATCAGGTTTAAGTGAAGCTGAATTAGAAGATTTAATATCACTTGATGAAACTGTTTTAAATGATGTCTATCAATATCATTTGCCACCTATTCGGCGTATACCTCCGCTATTATGGACACGTATAAGAAATGATTTACCGAATTATTTAGTTGAACGAGAAGCCGACGGTGTTAGTGTTGTTAGTTGGTATCATCGACAATTTGCCGAAGGTAATAATTATAGTTGTTTTCTTCCTAGAATTATATTTCAAATAGATAACAGATATAAATGTTCTTTGTTCAAGATCTTAATATTTAATCTATAGACATAATGATGATATAAAAATGAAATGTATTGACATATCAAATTTCGATGTGTGTGGAACTACATGTAGTGTTGAAAGTACAAGACAAAGAATTTGTTCCGACTAAAATAAAACGACTATAATTATAAAAAGTATTATGCAAAAAATGTTTCTAGATGTAATACAAATAAATTTTGCAATAATATTCTCGACCCGAAGACTAATTTTTAGAAGTTCATAACCTGTTCAACATGTGTTTGATATCTAATTCATAAATTCTTTTATTGCTTTCTAGTTTCTCAGGAACGCTATTTGTCAAATCCTGAAGAACGTCGAATTTATCATTCTAACATGGCAGATTATTATCTGGGTATGTGGGCTGGCCGTCCTAAACCTTTTCAATTTTCAGAAAATCAAAAACGTATGTTCAATATATCGTCACCGGACGGTGAAGCTGATCGTAAAGTGCCAGCTCAACCACTTATATTTACAACAAGTAATGCTGCAGAAGCAGCTACTGTTACATCAACTGTTCGTTATAATTTTCGTAAATTAAGTGAACTACCATTTCAATTAATTCGTGCCCAACGTGAAGATGATTTATATTCTAATGTTTTGTTTTATTATGATTTTCTACATGCTAAACTATCGTGTATGCCATTGAATCTATGTATATTTGATTATGAAAGTGCACTAGAATATGCTTTTGATAAAGAAGTAAAACAAAAAATTCAACACTAATATTAACTGAATTATGAACTAAGGATTTTATTGATTTATCTAGGTTAAATTAGTGGGTGATGCACTTCGTTTATCAAGTTCAGTTTTAGCTTCTGATCCAAATAATCTAGCATGTCAAATAATGGGTCGTCTACTTCCATTTTATACAACATGTAGTAAAATAGCTTCACTGATTGATCAATGTGAAAGTACAGGTTTACAAGTCATGGGTCTTGTGCCAGCTTTTAATACATTAGCATCGCCAGGCGGTCCACTTGTTTATTCATTAGAAGCTCATCAATTTGCTATTTATGGTCTTGAAGTTGTTTCATCTGGACAATCGCTCCTTACGGTATCAAATAAATTTATTGTTTTTGATTTATCCAGTGGTGATATTGTACGTACAATTGATCCTAAAATAGAAGGTATAATGACATATCTATCTATTGCACCTGATCAACGTCATTGTGTAACAATAACAATCAGTAATCAATATATTATATGTAATTTATTAACTGGAGATTTTATTTTACGTGATTTTAAACCACCTGCAAGTACTCAATTAGCAGGCGAAAATTCAAATAAAAATAGTAATAAAACAAACAATGGAGCACCAGCTGATCCTTTATTAGGTGCATCTGCAAGTAATACACATTTTGTAATATGGACTTCTAGAATATATCAAGTGTTTACCAATAAAGGTAATTGATTGATTTCTTCGATATAAATTCTTGTAATCTGATTCGATTCAAATCGTGAATAAAAATCCATCAGTATTCACCTCATTCTCGAAAGCACAGAAATGACCTAGGTAGTACATACTAAATGTACTTATTAATCACTTCATTCAAAGATTTTGATCATCGAGAGTAAGATCATTTTTATTTATTTCTAGCCGAATTACTTACAACTCAAACAATGCGTTATCAAATCATTCAAATCGAAGTATTAGAAGGATCACAACTAGAGATTGTGTGTCGTTCCGAAGATGTCAAAGATGATCAAGATGTAGGTCGTGATCGTCTATTAATAGATTATTGTTTTGTTCCAACGAATGATCGTCACAGTGATGCAAACAATAATAATGATAATGATTCACGTAGTTTAATTGGCGGTAGAAAAAATATTCATAGTGCACTTGTATTAACACGTGATAAACGACGAATGTATACATGTTGTGAAATAAATGATTTTAACATTGAAGTGTATCTGAATAAACCACACCCGCTTCATCCCACTACTCAACGTATATGGGCATTTGATCATCAATTATTTGAAAATAAGGATCGGTAAATTTTGCATAAAATAATATTTTCCTTAATGAATATTTCTCTTTTTTTTCTAGTATATTTTCATTAATTTTAAGTGAGGATGAAAATTATCTTATGGCTGTGGTATTTAAAGGTTTTAAAATATTTTCATTTCGATCATATTTATGGAAAACATGTTCATTGCCTGGCAGTGTGCGTAATATAATGAGTGGTGCTAAACGTTTAACATATACGGCAGCATTTTCTCAAGATAATCGGTACGCGTTTTTGTTTTTGTAAAGTTTTCACTTTTTGCTTCACCTATTCTTTTCTATATAGCTATTGTATAGCTTGTGTTAAATCGACTGTTTACGTATTTGAAATGGAATGGGGTGATTTAGTAGCATCATTTGATTCACACTTCGGTCGTATACTTGTTGTAAAATGCTTATCAACGGGTGGTGGAAATAATTATGTTATAACGACTGGTATGGATAAAACAACGAAAGTATGGAATTTACAAAATGCAAAAGAAAAATCGATATCGACAGCACAATTAGATAAATGTATTGAAATGATCCATATCTCGACAGATGCTCATATCATACTGGCACAATCACGTACACAATTATGTATATTTGACATGCGGACTGGATACATGACAGGACAATTATCAGCTAATCCGCATGGGTCAATTTATCAATGTTAGATTTAATGAGCAAAAAAGAATTTCGTTTATTACGAATATTTTGTATTTTTTATATTTTAGGTACAGCTTTATGTACCAATGGTTTATTTGCAGCATCAGCTGAGTCTGGTAATGTGGTACTATATGATATGGAAGAGAAAAAAACAGCATTTATAACACCATTGAAAAGTGTCTTTCAATTTCTTCTTCATTCATCTGAAACCATGGTAAGAGAAAAATACAGTGCCTATAACTTTTCTCAAACAAGTAGCTATTTTCTTTTGTTCTTTATGTTATTCAGGTTTTAGTTTTAACTACTGAGCCAGCTCCTACAGTTGCTAGAAGTGCATCAAATCCCGCACCAGCTGGTAATAATCAATCTGGCCCTTCGATTCGAGCTATTTCATATGGAATACCAGATGGAGATATTATGTATGAAATAGTGTCGAGTGTTAAACGTGTGAATAACCCAAAAAAAGTAGTGTGCACCGCTGAGGATACATATTTTGTATTTATTGAAGATAAAAAAGGTCATGATATACTTGCCATATATGATCCGATGACCGGTGATCATGTACATAATATTAAATTAAATTATGCATCCTATAAAGATATTACTTCGATGGTTACAATACCAAAACAACCGTATCTTATTGGTTTAATCGATTCAGAAAAGGGTATTGTTATGAATGTTCGAGATAAAAAGGTAAAAATTTCATTGATTAACGAAAGAATATATTTGTTTGAAGAAACGAAAATGAAATTAAATAGATAGAAAACCTGTACTTTGGAAATTATATTCGTAAATTTTGGCAGGTGGTACAAAAAATTGTCCTTAACCAATATGCTGACCTTTGTTATAGAATTCGAAGTGATTTGACTCTCCTTAAGATGAAAATTCAGAATTTTTTAACGATTAAAAAGGCGCATATCGGTTTCAATTTGATTCAAAGATGTTAGAGAAAAAAAAGTCGATTCTGTTAAAACGATACAGCTTTGGATTTGAAGACTATTTAGAATCGTTGTTATAGCAATGTGTTACGAAAAATATGATCTGAAAATTGAGAATCTCAGAAGACTTTTGTTCAATTCATTTATATTTTTTTTGCCTAAAATGTTTTAGACTGTCGAATCAACATGATATTAGGTAGTTCCGAAAGGGAGAGAAGAAATCTTGTTAAATATGGAATAAGAAATTCTATTAATGATTTTATTATAAATAGGTTCATTTAACACTACCGAAATGGGGTGGTCAAATATCGTCGGATGGTAAATATGGTTTATATGCTCCAACTCGTGGTGGTCTTGACATCTTTGAGTTTCGCACCGGAAAAGTAGTTCGAACATTAATTGGCAAAGTTGCTGAAGGTGTTTTCGATGTGCTAGCATTTTTCACTCCGACTAATGAACATGTTGTATATTACCATAAAGGTAAACGAACAATACGTCTATTTCGTGCAGAAGATGGGAAACAACTAGCTGATATGAAATGTCCAACCAAAGTTCGACAAGCAACAGCAACGCAAGATGGACTAGCATTGGTTGTTGGTTATGAAGATGGAGCAATTCAAATGTTTTTAATTGTCGATCAAGATAAAGAATCTGATATTGAACATTTAAAAAGTTGGAGAAAATATCAATATCAAAAACAAATAGAAAACGCACAACAAGAAACTACTGAAAAACAACCTGAACACACTATGTGATAAATTATTTTGTGTGATTTCTATCACGGAGCTCTCGCGAACAGTTCTGGGATACTTAAAAAAAACTCTTCTTAAATATTTTAGACTCACATTGAGTCTAACTTTTACCGTTTCAAACGTCATTTTCAATCAAGCTTTTGAATGTTGTTAAGTAGACGTCGTTTTCTGTAATACGACCTTCTGTTGGAAAACACTAGTGACTATCAGGATGCTGTTCAAAATATACTGTGAGACACAGAAAATCGTCTTGTATTGTTTAAAATTGTACAAAATTGAATGTTTTCCAATGCATTAAAAAGCAATCTTACAGTGATTTTAAGTAGAAAATGTAAAAGTTTTCGTTGGAAAGAATATTTATTTTCGACTATCAGCATTCTAACTGTTGCTTCTGTTTAGTCTCAATTCATCGCTTCAACAAGTATATCCCATGAACTATTTTGTATGTGATATTTAGGAAGATGATCTGTACATAAGATTTGACGGATCTGATCCTTGATAAAATTTTGTCAATATCCGCTTGGAGAAATTAGCTAACTCTTTTCTATGTATTAGTTGCGGTAGATTTTTTGAGTTCCTTCTTATAATGAATTTTCTAAGTCTATCATGCAATCACCACACGCGTTGAGTCTCAACAAATGATTTCCTGGTTAGCAGAATGTTCTCGCAATTTCAGTGCAGACAAAGTCAGTTTTGCTCAATGTGTATACGGAAAACTGCGCCATTGATAGAACTCAATACAGTTGGTCACTTTCGAACAATGCTCCTGCAACGAAAATAAAATTTTCCAAGTTCATGATCGTGAATTTACATATTTGTTTTCAAAGAACAATTCGAATCAATCTTTGAGATTTGCTTAAATATGACTCACATTTTGGACAATTTTATATGCTATTTTGAAAAAGAAACATTATTTTTATCAAATTAAGAATAAACGAGAAGTTTGGAAAATAATAACATCGCAATTATTTGGCACTCACCCAGCAGTGGCAAAGTTCCGAGAAAATGTCACTTTTCCTACCCAAAGTCTCGTGGATAGGTGCCGCTACCAGTAAGGTCCTATGGCAAGACTTTAGGTTGAGAGTGAAGGACTTTTCACAGGACTTTAGGTAAAGTGGACTTTTTCTGGATCTTTGCCAGTCTTCGTTTGATATTGTTATTAAATTTGAAACAGTGAAGTTATACGATTCATATGCTTCGTCACAGTTACATGTAAAATCAAAATAGTATTTGGTCATTGTTCAATATTTTTGTTTTATTTCTATCCATCTATTACACCAATCTGGAAATCATATTTCTACAGTTTAACCTTAAAGAAATTCATGATTTCTCTCTAGTATATTCATATGTTCATCTAATGTGGAAAAAACTAACGTATACGTCTTCATATTTTCTTTAACATTTACTGCTAGAAAGAAACGGTGCACTTCAATCAAAAAATTATCTTCAAGCACAGAATGAGTTCAAGAATACCGAAATTATTTAAATTAGAATATTTTTAGACATGCATTACATTGATTAGCAATAGAATTCAAAGCTACTAGTAATATGTTTATTTGCGTACTCAGGTTACTCGGTATTATGACTTGAATATCATAATATTCATTGCCAGAAACAAAATTTTCTTTAATCCTAGTGCCTAGAATGTTCGATTGCAATTACATTAAAAAGAACGTTGGCGTAGTGAGAAATTATTAGAAGCATTCAAGTATCTCAAATTGACAGCAAGCAGCGTGAAAATGCACTATTTTCGTCTTTAACTTTCACTGTCAGATCAAGTGATATTTAAATTATTAATTAACGACGGATGCACGTCTTGGCAAGAATGTCGAGCTTCATTGTGAGTTCCCACGATGTGCTAGAGACTTAATTCTTTCACCATCGGATAGAGCAGAGTCTGGAGACTAGAAATGCATTTTTTTCAAATTTGACCTTTTCAAAGGTCAAAATTTTCGAAACGCGAATGGCGCCAAAAACGGTTTGTCACCGTTCAAATTTTTCTTGCTAATTACTTTTTTCGTAATTAACAGATCTCAGTCAAGCTTTGATGGAACTCGGTCTAACTTTCAGATTATAGGTAACTTAGTGTCAGCTACTCGAATAACTTGGATTCAATTTAGTTCATCTTCATGGAAACACTTTGGCGCCATTCTATTAAAATGGGAGGGCAATGTTTTCATCCCTCCCTTTTTAAATGAGGCTGCGTCTCGAGATTTGAACAGAATTCGAGCTTGAGGAGTTGATTAGATGCAGATTTTTATGCTCTTTCGGAATATCAAACTCAAATTCGGTTTGGACAAAACCTTGAATCCAAAACCTTTTCACTACAACAACGGTGAAAAGGGTTGCTTACTACCATTTTACACTAATTAAAATTTGGGCCATAACTTCGGCAGACAAGGTGCGTTTGAGTTCAACATTTTTTTCCAGATAGACCATCAGTCAGTCAACTAAACCACAATAAAAGTTTTCCTGGAAGTCATGAATTGTGAAAATTGCAAGAGAAACTTTAAAATTTGAATGGTGACAAGCCGTTTTTGGCGCCGTTCGCGTTTCGATAATTTCGACCCTTGAAAAGGTCAAATTTTAAAAAAATGCATCTCTAGTCTTCAGGCTCTGCTCTATCCGATGGTGAAAGAATTAAGTCTCTAGCACCTTATGGGAGCTCACAGTAAAGCTCGACATTCTTGCCAAGACTTTTGCATCAGTCGTTACTATGTTCCAACAAAGAGAGGACGAAAAACGAAATAATCTTACGATACTATTTACTAAATAAGTTAATTTTACACTATTATTTAAGATAAAATATTTTTGAAGTTAGATTTCGTATATTCTGAGTATTATCTAACACTCACATATTAAAAGTAGACAAGAACGAGCTTGAATTTATTCATTCGAGTAAGCAATAAATTTTATAATCTATTCTTTTTATCTCTGTTCCTCATTCGCTACCTCCGACAGTGCAACAGCACAACATGTTTTTTATTCTTGATAAGAACATGATGTAACAGTGAATTCGACTTGCACATCAAGAAAAAGAAAAACAAGAAAAAGAACCAATTTTTTCTCGAACACCATTACTACTCAGTTTGTTTAGACGATGTTATAAGTAGCTTTTCAAAAATTTGTTTAGCAAAAATGACTTAAAATTATAAACAAAACAAACTTCATTTTCGTATCACAATATACTATGAGTGATATTCAAATTTTGTTCAATCTCAACAACGCTCATTGATTAGTATTCTATAAGACAAATTTATAATTCAATTTTATTTGCATGTCCAACAAAGTCTATTCGATAAAATTAAAAATTCGTGAGCAATCATTAGGATAGTAGCCAAGATAAGCATGAAACTAATATATTATAGATGTACGTGAAGATTATTTGTGAAATATTATATCGATAATAATCTCTCGCGTAATGCTTTTCTCATCGAAAATCTGGCATGATGATGCGCATCGATACTATTTATTTCTTTTTCTCACGAACCATAAGATTTTTCTGATAATAACATTTCCAACCGTAAATGATTAAAGTTCCATAGCAAACGATTGAACCATAAGAAATTATTAGATCAAACAAGTCTTACATTTTCTCAAAAAAATAACAATTCAAGCATTAGTTTTGAACTGTCTGTCGCTAATTTTTTTTCTTTCACTGAGCAGTAATCCAATCATTTTCAGATGGATTCGTTTATCTCAAGATTATTTTCAATCTTCCACGTCACAGAATCGAGCAAAAACACAACACCCGGTATTCAAAGATAGAGATCGAAAGAAAAATTCTAATCAATTTTGTACTCAAAAAAATCTTTTGCTTGTTTTAAGTTCGTCAGATTTTCACGCGAAAACGAGAAAATACGAGATCGATTTTTCGCCATTTTTTCACATTAGATCGCGTCTAAAATTGATTCTTTATATTCATTCTACTGAATCGCTCGTTGGTTGTTTATGATAAGCCGATTAGTTTTTACGTGGGAGTAAAGACTTATCAGAGGATATGAGTGAAGCGTGTATACATCATACCATAATCTCTTGAAACGGAAAATGTGCATGTGTCAATTTCTATTCAACCGATTCTAATAAATTTTGTGGAATGCAACTTCGATTTTAATTTCACACGAACTTCTATAAAATGTAAGAATTTTATTTCATAAACATCTTTCATAGAATTATATTATACAAAAAATAAAGCACTTTTCAAGTTGGTTGTTGTCTAAATTTCTGAATCTTTTTATTACTGCAAGTCTATAAAAACTGCACCGTTATGAATTAATATTTAATAGTACTTTGTTTTCATCTAATTTAATTGAATAACATAATAAAAAAGAAGCCAAGTGAATATCATTCTTAGTTTGTGAGAAAATTTTGTTTTACTAACAGAATGATTGATCTGTGAAATTAGCATAGAAAAATCGGTCCCAAAATAGAGCCGTATTGGGAAAATATTATTTTAATACACGACCGGCATCACTCTATAAAATGCAATACTTAGTTATCTCTTATTATTAAGTTTATTTGGATGAACTTTTCTCTTTTCAACGCTCAATCTAATTGGCTCAGCTCTTTTATTCATGTGGATATGTGTGGGTGGGTTAAGTGCACTGCTTTTCCTATCGACAGGATGCATAGAAAAGTTCAGGAAACAATTACTTCGTATTTTGATGTAGATACGCCGCCGATAAAAAAGATCACCTACACAGAAATAAAGTCATAGATACATACTTGTCTCGTTCGTTTATGCTTACAAGTCTTTATCAAATGTGCTTGCCTACGGTGAAGAATAGAATCATTAATTGAATTTTTCAATGTATCGTTTTAAAAATATTTCCGTTGGATAGTAGTGCCATCTTTCGTTGTCTTCAATTTGCTTGAAATTAACTACGAATCATTGTTCAAGTCCTTCGCAAGGCTGTAAATAAACATTTAAATAAGTGTGAGATGTGATCAATTACTTTTCTTTTAAGAAAAGTGTTAGATTAATCAATTTATTTCTACATATATATTAAATATTTCTTCGATCACGCATAATACAAAAATTAAAATATATTAATATGTCAGACGACAGTACAAATGGTTATTTTAATCCACGCTATAAAGCTCAATCAACTTCTCAACTTTTATCACCAGATTCGATCAGTGGTGACTCTATTTCATCAACGTTATCAACATCATCTCTTGCTATATCAAATAATTCAAAAAGTCACATATCAGCATTTTTTAAAATGTCATTACCACATCGAAAAACTACTACAACACTACCAGCAGAAGATCGTTTCATTATGACAATAATGAGAAGTCCGTCACCTCATTCGCAATGTGCATCTTTTAATTCTTCAAATGATATTCCTACAACACCATTATCAACCACATCAATAACAATGACTGATGATTCATCCAATAATGGTAAGATTTTCAAAAGTAAAGTAGCAGCAGCATTCAATCATGTGAAATATCGTAAGTTGATATAAATTTATAAATTCTTTATTTATTTATTTTTTAAGGTTGGGCTGTAAGAATGCGACCCAATTTTCGTACAAATGAATCACCTATTTATTTTCTTGGGAAAATGTATAATGGTAAAGAAGGTAAATAGTTTAGAGATTTTTTGTTTAGATAAAAGTCAGTTGACTGATTCCTTATAAACGTATCGATGAATAATTCTCACTTTTGTTTTTGATAAAAAAATTTATTAAAAAAAAATATCTTTATGTTAGAAACAACGTCTGATGATTTACCTCCTACATTTAATGAGCAATCATATGCAAGTTTTTTAACATCCTTTTCACAACGAATCTATTTTTCGTATCGAAAACAATTCGAACCACTCAATGGTTTGAGACCTAACGGAGATTTAATAACATCAGATTGTGGTTGGGGTTGTATGATACGTTGTGCTCAAATGTTGCTTGCTCAAACATTAGTAAATCATATGACCAATAACATTAATTTACCTTATTCACATATTCAAATGTCAGAAAAATGTATGTTTAGAAAATAACAAAAAGATTCTTATTTTTACTTAGTCGATTCATTTTTTCAGGTCCGAAACGAAATTCAATCGTATATTGTCGAAATGTCAATCGAACGAATCGACGAACACATATTTATACTGATATAATCCGATTATTTGGAGATTATCCTAATGTTAAATGTCCATTTGGAATTCATAAGTAAGAATTTATTATCGAATGAAACTGTTTCTCTAGTCTCTAAAATAATTCGATTTTTTGTGTTGACAGTAATACTAAGAGTTTATTTTTCATGATCGACATCTGCATCCATCTGTGAGAATAAAAATTAAAGTTTTCGAACATCACTATGTCGTGGTGAAAAAATAAACTCTTGAAATTCATACGAGAAATCAATGTAGCTTAGGAAAGAGAAGAAACACGGATTAGTACGCTGTTATTCTCACTTCATTTTATCTTTTGAAGAATTGTTGAACTTGGTGCAACCCTTGGTATTCGACCTGGTGAGTTTTTTGGACCTGTCAGTGCTGCTCATTGTTTAAAACAAGCACTTCAAGCTGCTGTTGAATTAAATCAAATACCGGATACACTTCGAATTTACACTAGTCAAGATGCTATTAGTAAGTTACTCATGCTTTGTTCAATATTGATTTTTCCACTGTTGATATTTAGTCTATCGAGAAGATGTTATGAATTTATGTACAGCACCATCGAATTTAATTAAACAAAAATTGAATCGATCCATTGACGCAATAACAAATAATTCTTCAACAATGTGGCTAACATCATTACTTATTCTTGTACCATTAAGATTAGGCTTAAATGAACTTGATTTAATCTATGTACCTTATTTAAAAGAAGCTCTGAAATTAACTCAAACAGTTGGTATTATTGGTGGTAGTCCTCGGCATGCTGTTTATATACTTGGTTTTCAAGATGAAAGTTTTATTGATCTCGATCCACATTTTAGTCAAACAACTGTTAATGTACTGGAAGATGGATTTGATTTATCTGTAAGAACATATAGATTTATTCTTATTAGAATATTTAACATAACGTTATGCAACTTTTAGAGTTACTCATGGTCGTCACCTAAAAAATTAACGGCAAAAAAGATGGATCCTAGTTGTACATTGGGATTTTACTGTAGAGACAAAGAGGATTTTGAAATGTTTTGCGCTCAAGTAAGCTTAAAATATTAATTAAATATTTGACATCTTTCTCGGAAGATATGTTTAGTTAATGTGACGGCGAGTCTTTTTTTTACAAGATGCACTTAACTAATCACTAATGTGTTTTGTGGCTAATTATAGAAAATTTTCCTTTTAAGAATTCATGATATTTTAAAAATAGAATTTCTGTTCATTGTACATGCTGCGTTAAGGCGTGACTTTAATTTTTTCTGATTCTTTTTAAAATTCATTTTGATATTAATCATTTGATAAAGAAAAAGAACTTGTCTCATAGTATTCCTTTAAAAAGATATTTGAATAGAAAAATAACAAATTTCAAAATCTTCGAAAGATTGCATTGTAACAGAAACTATCAACTACAAATAAATAAAAAGTAGAGGAAATATGATTGTTCTAGTTCTTCCTGATCTCCGTAAACATACATATCATGTTTCCGACAAACTCCTGTCGTGTTTTAAATTGAGATATCTGATACGAGGAACATAGGTTGATGACAAAAGATAATCCGACGTTTTTTTCATTTGAATAACTCATCATAGTTTATACTCAGATCGTGACATCTTTTCTGACAGAACAAGCACCTAAACTTGACATGTCAAATCTAGATGACGAGAATGTTCTCATTCGTCAAAGAAACCATACATGCCCACACATTAATCATCGCTTTTCATATAATAATTCCATAGAGATTTTTCCAATAATTTTTGATAATAAAATTAATATTGAAATGGCGAATATTTCTTTTGTTGTATTTCAAAATTTATAATAGAATATGAATAGACCATTTACTAGATGAATATGCAATCAAAAAAATACGATAAAAGACAATGGGGGAAGAGACGGATTTGGAATTTTGAAAATCCAAAAATCCAAAACGTGAATGATGGAATTTCCATCTAAATTTTTTCCCATATGTAAGTCTCACGATTCTTAGAATATTCTAAAATTTTCAGCGCAAACAGACGTTTCCTTCTCAAGATAATGTATGCGCAAGAAATGTTCATTTCACGGCACGGTCAGAAAATCCAGTTTTTTTGAAAATTCAGTATTTTAAGAAGGAAACATTCGAGTTGAAACTTTTAGGATCTTTTATGGACCATGAAACCTATATATGGGAAGAATTTCAGATCGAAACTGCGTCATTCACAGAGGGGAAAATGCTTTTCAATTTATGGGATTTTGAAAATCCCAAACGCCGCGTGGCTTTTGTAAAAACCCAAACCCCCCCCCCCCCCCCCCCCCCCTTGATAAAAGATCTCACAGAAATCTTTCATTTGACTTATCTTAAAAATAGATTTTATTTTAGTCTAAATACTATACTGATATTTAATGAATGTATTTTATTTAAGTGGAATCATATATGCCATATGAAAATAGATGACCGACGTGCATGTCCAATATTTCGTATTGAACGTGGTACATTTCAAGAAAGTAATACACGTATATTCAAGTTCGATTATCCATCGTTGAACGAAGAAGAAAGCGTGATTCTTCGTGTAACAAAGTTATCGTTACCAGAAAGTAATTCAGCACTATTATCAACAAATAATCATCAATCGCATAAAAGTAAAAGTTCATCAAAAATTCAATATAGTGATTCATATAATGATGCTGGTCAAGTCTTAAATGAAACGAAAACAAAAACCAATCGTGCAAGAAAACATTCATTATCTGATGATTACGTATTTTTATGATCTTTATCTTTTCTATTTTATTTTGTTGATAACTCTCTAGTCAATATGAACCTTTTGTGCAAAGAATTTTTCGTATATAAACTATTTTTTTTTCTTTTTCTTTTTCTTTTTCTTTTTGTGTATGTACGCTTATCCCTTTATTTGTTTTTCGTTGATAAGCCGATACAGTGTGATACATATGAATTAAGCTGTCCGATTTCTATTTATAAAAATTAAATATCAACATAAATTTATTATTTTCTGTTTCGTTTTAGATGATTTCAACATTGATTATTGTCTTGCAAGTACTTCATATTGTAAAGTTCCATTAATTAAATTTTTTCTTGATATTATTTAGTACTTTAATGGTGAATGCTGGAGCGATAATAGATGTTAAATTGTATGTAGAATGAAGAAGACAAAATAGATTTATGAATTATTTATTGGTTTCTTTTGACATTCATTTTAGGAAACGAAAAGAAGTTGGTTTCATTGCTGATAATCCATCGATTGGTAAGTTATCGAATGTAATATAGTCGAATAAAAGTTCGTTTCTAATTAAGTGGGTCTATTCATATGGAGGAAAACAACAAAATGTATTTCGAAAAGGCAATAGCACAAATGCCAAGTCACTATTTTTTTAAGACGAATCATATATAATTTATTTTTAACGGATATTGATAAATTAAATGAAATAATAGAAAACAGAATCAGCTTTTCAATGTCTCCGTATCCTTCATATATAACGCAGACTAGAATACTGATGCTGATTTCTCTGGAGTAAAACATCATGCTGAAATATTCATTTTTCATCTGTCGATAGGACATTTCCTATTCGTCCAAATTATATTTGACTTTGTTAAACGTTCATATAGAAAAGCACACGATAAATTCTCTCTCTCTCTCTATCTCTCCTTCTCTAAAAACCGTCAATGTTTATATTGATTCGCAAGAAGAAGTTTTCCGCCACGATAGTTAATGACTTCACCATCATTAAAGAAAATATTCTCAGTCAACGTAAGTTACCCAAACATTTCATCATTTACTGAATAGACAATGCTGTTCAATAGAACAAAATGTATGAAACTGTATCTCCAATGAGTTTTCATAAATTGAATATTACATTTCATGATGCTGTCGAAAATCAACATTATTATTCTACTAATGTAAATAATTATCTAGCACCCTGTGGTACACCTGCTGTTATCGTAGCATCTTACCGCAATTGATTTGCCAAGTTTCTGTAAGGAAAGCATATTCTAGTAATATCCAATGCTATTCAGAAGAGAGAGAAGGGCATTAGCTGACGTAAATGCAGCTTTGTTTTACAAGTGGTTCTCCTATCGTGTATAGATTAGTGCTAAAAATAAGTTATATACTCTAAGAACGAGAAAAATATTCTTTATTCTACGATACAAAAATATTTCTTTGAGCACTTGCTTATTGTAAAAAACCATCGACTGGCATTTGTGCCACTATCTTTCTACTACACGCTGTATTTCCTAATTATCTTTAATATGTCATGTTTAAATAGTAGCTTTGAGGAAGTAATGCAACATTAAATAAACTCGGAAACAAAACCGAACGTTCATTTTAGGAGACAAAATAAGTGAATTTCTTGGCAGTCTTCAATATTTTCGAGTCTTCATTGGTCTTTGGAATATACTAATTATATTTGCTATGTTCACGTAAGTGTATTTATTGCCGATACATATTTATGACATGAACTATAATTTACTATTTTTTTCAAGTGTATTTGGTTATTGATTTATCATGGTCATATATATTATAGACGATGAGCAAAATTGTTTTATGTGAAATGTTAATATGGTTTTTTTTGTTTGAAATAAAAATGTCTCTTTTTCTTTATTTTCCTTTCTTTCTTTCATCATTATCGGATTTTCCTCGATATTTGTTTTTCAAAAAATAGTAATATACACACATGATATTCTGTTCATTTTATGGCATCAATGTTGCTTTCTTCTTCTTTATACCTTCTAGTTTATGAAGTGAGCTTCTTTTCACCTTCTAATTGCCTCTTGTCTCTTTCGTTAATATATGCGTTTGCTTCCTATTGAATAAGAACCTTTTCACGTATTATTCGTTTAATATACCAATGCAAGCTATAGCGATATTCTCTCTCGTTCAAGTATAAAAGAAAACAAAACAGTTCCTTTTCTGCTCTCTCGCTTTGATGAACGTACATTTATAATACATGCCTTCTTTCTTCTTTCTTCTCGTTTCATGGTATATACAACCCCGAACCATCATCGTTACTATCGACAGAATGACTGATTGATGATTGTATAAGTAACTAACGCAAAGAGATAACGATGATCAATATTTCTCGATTTATATTAAGCCAATAAAATTTTAGATCTTCGTTTTAGATTAACTATCGGATGTGTGTTGATGTCACCACAAAATTCACAAAAACAGATGGTGACCACACCATCATCACATTTGTCAGATGTAGAACTAAAACCAAAAAATAGTCGAATTCAATATCATCGGCGTCGTCAAAAATTATGTACCACTCAACGTCTGCCGGCTTTTTTTGCTTGGCTTATTTTATTAACTACGTCATTTGCATATTGGATATGTATTTTTCCAGAGATTCTCATACTTCTACCAAAACTTTTACCTATTCCAATTTTACACTGCATTTTATTTGTGCTTGTATGTGCAAACTTTGCTCTCGCTACATTTATGGATCCAGTAAATAATTTTCATATATTTTATTTCAATTCAGAAGAAAAAATAGCATCGATATATCTGATGATTTTTTTAAGGGCATCTACGAGCAATCATTAAAAAACGAATATGGTAATGTCAGTTTTTATACTCGTCGATCGAAACACAACAATGGCTTTGAAATAAATGATGGTGATGATGAAGATGATTTTGATGAACCACAATCTCGTCTGATTCGTATTAAAGATGGTAATTTATTTATTTCTTAATTGATATTTAATATTTTAAAGGAAAATTCAATTCAGGATCGGTCTATATCAAATATTGTCGTACATGCAAAATGTTTCGTCCACCACGATGCTCACATTGTTCTATTTGTGAACGATGCATAGATGTAAGTTTAACTAATCGATGGTCAATAGAACTTTGGCTAGCTAACATTTATAATCTATCGTCTGATAAATTTATATTTACGAAAGAATATGCTTAGCAATCGTTGGCAAGTGCTCGATATCATATTATGAGTACGACTAGATCTCAATGCGACTGGAAACAAAATCTAAAAGATTCTAGTTGTTTCGATCTATGTACAAAAATTTCTGAAAAGACCAGTAGATTCTTATTTGATAGTTGAAAGGTATAAATTCACAAAAATATCTATTTTTACCAATAATATGAATTCGAGCCGTTTTTAACACACTTGGATATATTCGATTGTTAGTTTCATAAAATGAACTTCTTTTTTAAGAAATTTTTCTTTCCATTAGACATTCGATCATCATTGTCCATGGCTCAACAATTGTGTCGGTATGTACTAAGTTTAAATTTCGGTTTTCTTCTTTTTACATTGAAATTTTAATTTAGGTCGTCGTAATTATCGTTATTTTTTTCAATTTTTATTTCTTCTATGTATTCATATGGTATTACTATTTACATTTTGTCTTTATTATGTTCTTCATGAACGCCATCATAAAGCTGTTACAAACAATTTTATCATGATGCCGTCAAACAGTCATTTATTAAAACGACAAAATGATTATTCATCATCCATGTATTTAAATAAAACGTCCTTTGTTGGTTTTTCGGATTATCGCTTTATTATTTGTATTATTTTACTTCTTCTTCTTGGCCTTATGGCAATACCTATTGGTGGTTTAACAGGCTTTCATATTTATCTTATATCACAAGGTCGTACAACAAATGAACAAGTGACTGGCAAATATCGTATACAAAATGATGTATTTAATAGAGGTTACTGGAGAAATTTTTGTAACGCGTTATGTCAACCCCTATATCCTCAATTGAAAAAGTCGAAGACGAAACGTTACAATGTTAATTTATTTGACGAAATGGCCTATGGAATAATAAACAATAAAATCGTAAAAAATGAACGCGATGAAAAACGAAAGAGCGGTTATGATGAAGCCCATAAATTAAATGCCAAAGCAAATATTTTTAGTAATCCATTCGATGAAAAAGGTTAAAACAAAATTCTTTCTTGAATATACAAAACTATTTGAAAAAGAAAACATTGCTTGTTCCTTTTCTTCAATAATTACTAATTTCATAGAAATCAACAAGAGTTCGAGTTACATTAGATTCAATATTCAATTTTTTCGTTTGCAGATAAATTCTTCTGAGATACTGTAATTAACTAAAGTTTATTAGTAAAATGTCTAATACATAGGGAATATCGAATGTTTACGATAACTAAAAGCTTATCTTGTTAGACAATATTGTTCAAGAACATTGTAGTCATCTGCTAATGACCTACAAATAATTATCTAATCAATTAGTACTAATATGTTTGCATTAGCAAAACATTTATTTCGACATGATCATGTTTTCCGTTTGTTAGTAGATTTGCTTATAAAATAATTAGAAATAAAAATTGATTCTCATCATTTTTCTTCCTCATTATCTTAGATAATGTTTTGAGTAGATTTCTGTGGAGCAAAATTGATTTATAGAATAAGTTCCTGAAATATAGAAAATAATGATTATACATGTTGCATGTTTACTTTTTCCTTTTTTACTATTAGCAACTAACTATAAATTTAATTGTCACTTCTATTTTCAAGTTATTTTAAGCATAATGAACAAAATAGTCCTTATGATATTTTATTTTCTAGTTCGCCAATGTAATAATTCCATTCATATTGCCCAACAGCAGCCGGTAATTAAGCTCAGCAGCTCATATTTTTCTGTTTCATCTTTCTTTATTTATAGCTTGTTCCATCTTCGAATTCCGTTCCGTTAGCATCTTCATATCCTGAGGGTGTTAAAAATACTCTTCTACAGCAAACGACAAAACCCGAATTTGAATCCATGCGTCGTAGTCTATCAAATATGTCATTATCTTCACGTTGCTCATATGATAATATTGAAGAAAATGAAGATGATATTCATCAACCATTGCCTTACCATCCAAATAATAATAATAATAATAATAATTCGAAACACATGAAAAAAATGTATGTTAATCAAAATTCTGTTCAAGCTGATAATGTATCGACAAATAGTGGTGTAACATTGCGAACTGACTCCTATCGACAAGCGCATCCTTTACATTCCTTTGCTTTTGATTATCCAAAACGGCCATTGTTACCTCAATCAATACAAAACAATGAACAACAGAATCGTCGAAAAATGAATGGAAGTAAACATTATGAAATATCTGTGTGAGAGAAAAAAATAAAAGAGATCTATTCTGTGATTATCATAGATATTTATTTTATATTGTCTGTTTGTTTATGAATAGAAAATTTCTTTGAGAACGAAGAAAACTTATCTATATGTGAGCAAAATAAAATATTAGGATTTTTCGTTTTTTTTTTCTGTTATCAATGTTGTTATCATTAATTCTTGCAGAAGAACAAAAAAACGTAACTCGTATATGTGTGCATGTATTGTCAATTTTTTTGTTTGATACTTTGTATTGTACAAAAAAACTACAGCATCTTTTGTTTGTTGTACCTTTCTTATTTTTCTCTTTAAAAAAGAGATAGAAAAGTACGTTTATTGGTATTTATTTAATTTTCTTTGAATTTTGTTCTGGCAATATCTTCATTCTGTGCATCTATCATTACAAGGTTTACATTCACAACTTATTACAAAACGATATTTCACTGTTTGTGGTTCATTTTCATTTTCACATGTTACTCGAATTTCTTGAGCTTCAGTATTCGTGGGTGAACAACAAAAAAGATGACGCTTATGTCGATAATGTGTTGGTGCATTTTGCCAATCATAGATAAGAAGATCTTCTGAATAACATTGACCACGACAACGAGTTGTATCAATTTTAATTGGCTGGCTCCTACAATTCTGAAGATATATTGTCTCCGTATAAGGTTCAACTTGGCAATGATGTTTCACTAGAGTTGTGGTCGTGGAGGATAAATTTATATGAATAAGAAGAAATAAAAAGATAGGAATTCCAACCATTACAATTAATAAATGATAGTAGGTAAAAAAAATGTCAGAAAAAGAAGAACTATTAAAAGCTTTTTCTTCTTGGTAGCTGTCTTCAAGTGAAACTCTTTGTTTATTTATATATCCAGATAGAAATCCTGTTTCTGTCACGCATAATCACTTTTCTAAGAGAAAATGTTAAGTATATCTATCATCCTGGTTTTTTTTTCTATTTTATTTCATAGCCAATGAAAACAACAACAAGACAAGTAATGAAGAACAAATAGAGTAGTAATAGTAGTAGTAGTACACAGATAGAAGAGAAATGATAGAGAAAGTTGTATACAAAAAAAAATAGAGACAAGCGCGAGTTTTTTATTTTCATACATCTTTTCTTTTTCACATACAAAACAAGAATGTCATTCTACAACAATATAACAAGTAGTACACAGAAAAACAGAAAATTTTGAACTCGACAGCAAAAAAAACGAAGGATAAGGGACGCTTAGAGATTTTTTTTTTAATTTGAATTGTTAGTTTATTCTTCATCTTCATCTTCATCGTCGTCATCATCATCATTATCTTCATCCGATGATTTTGATTTACTTGCAGGTTTTTTGGCTGCAGGCTTCTTTGCTGCTGGTTTTTTGCTTGCTGGTGCTTTTGCTGCAGCTTTACCTCCTTTAGCTGAGCTAACATCACCACCACCACCACCACCACTTTTTTTGTATTCAGCAAGGCGTACTTCATATTTTTGTTTTTCAATAGCAGCCTTTTGTTCATAACGTTTTTTGACATCATCACTAGATAACAAAGAAACGAGAAAACGACCAATAGTAGAAGGAAGAAGAATTTTGAAATTTTTATTCTTACCTAACTTTTTTCCATCTTAAACCTATTTCTTTCGAAATATCACCAACCGACAATGATGGACTTTTCTTCTTGATGTCTGGTCGTTCATCTTGTGAAAAAATAAAGAATGCAGACAATGGTCGTTTTGGTGCATTTGGATCTTTGCCTGCTTTTTTGGATGCTCCGGCGCTGCGTGGCATTATTTCTTCTTATTAGATAGCGAAACAAAGAAAAATGTAAGAATCTAGAAAAGAAACATTCATATGTATATAAATGTATGGGTGTACACCTACGTCGTTCAAATTTGAAAAAATATCATCAACTAACTAAAGAACTGAATATAAACTATCGAATAAATACGATCGTTGCTCTCTCTCTCTCTCTCTTTCTCCTTCACTTCTCTAGATAAAGACTGCCAAATGAATCAATGAACAACGAGTTAGACAAAGAGAGAAATGTGACCCAGCCAGTCAGTGGTGTGTCGTTTTTCTTTGCTGCCTAGCTATAAAGAAGAATCGACAGCGAAAGAAAGCGCACGCATATAACGTGTATATATGTGTGTGTGTGTCTCTGCTTTCTCGTCTTGCTTTTTTCAAACATAAAGCGCACACACTATAGCGGTCGTGTATGTGTGCAAGGAGCTTTGCTTTACTTTATACGTGTGTGTGTTCGTCTCCGTCTGCTGTGTATGTGATGTCGAATGGTGATTGCAGCAGCAAAATGTATAGAGAAAACGCTCGTTCGCAAGCAAGCAAGAGTGCAGCAAGCACAACACAGAGGCCCTTTATGATGCGTTTCATACAACAGTGTGTGTGTAAGAAGGAAAAAAGAAAGGGGCAATGGTTGGTAAAGAGAAGAACAATTATAAAAGACACGACGACAGCGAAGTAGCTTGCTTGTGTGCGCACACACACGCATATTTATATATTCTATATGAAAATGTAATAGCAAAAGCAATATGTTACTTTTTGGGGGTTTATACGAAGCAAAAAAAAGGTCGAATAAGATGGAAGTTAATTTTGTATTTAATAAATTAAAGATAAAAGAAAATTCTTGTTTCATTAAGACCAATAAATTCTTGTTTAGAGAATAGAAAAAAAAACTGAACTCTATAGTATTCTTAAATTACGAAAAAACAAATTAAACGAAAGTTTTTTTTTAATGTGAAATTTAGTAAATAAAATCATTAAAGAGAATTTTATCAAGGTTCACACGTTTTTTAATTAGCTGATGTAAAAAGAGATGAGCCATATTTATTGTAGATTTATTTTTCATTAAAAATGTCAACATCAAATTTACTGTAACTAGTCCTTGTCACTGATGCAACAAAACTAGATTAAATTTCGTAGTAATAAATTTTATTTTTATTATTTTCCTTGCAACCAAAAAAAGAAATTTCCAAATTCAAGATGTCTGTGCAGTATTTCATTACATCAAATGAGAGCTTTGTTTTAGTTATTGATTTTATTTTTCTCAGGTGTTACAAAACTTTTTCTTCGAAACATTTTTTGTTATACGTATGAAAAATAAGGTATGCCATCCATAGAGCAGTTCATATTGGAACAGCTGCAATCTCTTTCAACTATACAAAATAAAGATCGAATAAGATTGTTGATGACGGACGTTTGGATATTCGAAAGAGATTGTTTACACTTACTTGAATGTTGCAGTGTTGCATATGAATATGTAAAATTTACCATTGTTCATGGTCTATCACGTGATACATTTCTTCGCATGGATATTGAATCCACAAGGGCGTTGCTAGATTTATTGAGCTCAACATTCATTTTTTCGAGCAATCAAAACTATCGGAAAATTATAACATGTCTGATGCATTACGTGGAATTAGTTTTATTTTCTAGAGATTAATATACCAAGTTTCGATCTACGTAAAAAATCAGTAGGTGATATGAAAAAAGATACCAACAAAAGTGGATAATTAGCATAATCAATGATTTTTTTTGTTGAACTCGGCTTTTAGACCACCTATAAATTAGCTCAACATTGCGAATGAATTGAATTCAGTATTTATTTTAATGTGTTTGGCTATTAATTTATTCTAATTTTGAATTATTATATTGTCGATATGTTATTGAAAAAGGAAAACTTAGCCGATGAAAATATCATTCAAAACTCGAACCGAATCGCTCCATGAGATTTTCAATTGAACGTTAGCGTAGGATAACCAATTGCGTAGTACTTCAAACTTAAATAGTAGATGAATCGACATTTAATATAAGTAAGACAGTAAATTATCGTGTTTTACTAGAACGCCTGTGTTATATTAAATTCACAACTATTTTAATACTTCAAAGGTTTTAATAATCAGAAATTTAATACAGATAATGGTAGTTCTGCGATTGAAGATATTCTAAGTCAATTATTATTCAAAATAAAATAGAACGTCATAAAAGTAACTTTAACTTATTCGTAAGATTCAGAAATATGATAACAAAAGTAGCAAGTGCTTTTGTTTTACTCATCATGATATCATTATGCAAATTTCATTCTAAATTAACGAAGGATGAATACAATAATGTTCATGAAAATAAATCAAAAAAGACATTTCAATTTGAATGATAGCTTCTTATGTAACTGGATATGTGAGACTGCATTGATACAAACGAGTAATTCGATTGAAAAATACAAAAAATCTTCGATTAAAACATGTGATAGAGCTAATATTTATCATTGATCAACTTATTCTACAGGGAAAACGAAGTACTTCGCGCATTTTTGCTTGATTTGATAATTATTTTAATAGAGCGGGGTTTTTAAATGAAATAAACTTGCAACAGGTGTCATCTTAATCATGGTGTGCAGTTGAAATAGGCCTGATTAAAGAAGAGTATGTATGTTCATGCCTTTCTTCTCAAATATGAGTTTCTCGATTATTGATATATACTTTGTGTCTCAACACACTCTCGTAATAGTCTAATTGAGTATGTATATCTGCTTTCAATTAGAGGCATTAATAAATCCAAGGCTTATTTTATCAGGTTCAATGGAATACTTTGAACTTCTTCGTAACGTTATAGCGCTGACGATGTTTTAACTTACAAGTTCAGAGCAGATGCCTATTTTTATCTTGATTATTTGCCAAAACAAAAGAGTGCATAGGCAAACGTGAGAATGATATGACATGTATTTAAAACACATGACTATCCATGTAAAATGCAGCATTGATTTAAACTCGTTTCAATGACGTATAATTTACTTTTTCAACAATGAAAAGTGTCATTCCTTTTTAATGAAAGCCATGATTGATTATTATTAACTTAGTTGCGCAAGATCTTTTTTCAAAAAAGTCAGAAGCTTCATTAAACAATGAATGCTCTGTTGTGTTCATCGTGCTCCTGTAATTAACTTTGTTTCGGATGATCACAACTTTAGCTATTTTTATTAATGATGTATGCAAAATGGCATGGCTAAAAAGTAACACTGTTTTATCACCTTTCGGTGCTCAATGAACTACACTGAAGATAGCCAGTCCAATCACAGGGTACTTTTCTAATTGCAATAGATAAATTTTTAACATGTGAATGAGCAAACATTTACCAATTCTTGTTGTTTCATTTGAAATTTCGATCCCTTTACAAGCAACCAACATTGTATGTGACGATGTGTCAATACTGATTGTTGGAGAAATAGTTGTCCCAAAAAATGACCATGGATAACATTTATTAGGCATAACATGATAGCTAGAAAAAAAAGTAATTCAATATAGTATTGTTACTGATGATGCATTTGAATAGCTAAGCAAGAATATTCTCTTTAATACTAAATAGATATATTAAAATAAAGCCGATATCATCTTTTATGTCTTTATCACGGATTACAAAAATCTATAAACCAATGGAAGAATTTCATGTGAAATTTAGAACATGAATACCGACCTTAATATCTAGTCAACCTGATCTAGTCCATTGTTTTTTTTTATCCAAAAGCAAATTTGGCTCATCTTGATTTTTCGTGTGTACTTATTTAAGAGAGTTCCACGAGCCGACCGACGATCGCTCCAGTGTATCGAACACTCGATAAAATTTGTTTTTTGGGTTTTCTATGGTCATTCGAAAGATAAAGGTTTAAAATTACTAATTGGAAAATTTCAGCTTCTAATACTTTTCGTTCGAAAAGTTAGTCATAGACGACTTTTACCACCCTCACAAGTTTTCAATATAAAACTTAGCAATAAATTTCTCGATCAAACAACCCCGTCTCATGCCTCAGAAGATTGTTCAAATTTTTAGACAAATATTTCTGAAAGATACCCCATAGATAGGTGAATAATACTGGATATTTTAGGTATTGGATTATNTACCTAAAATATCCAGTATTATTCACCTATCTATGGGGTATCTTTCAGAAATATTTGTCTAAAAATTTGAACAATCTTCTGAGGCATGAGACGGGGTTGTTTGATCGAGAAATTTATTGCTAAGTTTTATATTGAAAACTTGTGAGGGTGGTAAAAGTCGTCTATGACTAACTTTTCGAAGGAAAAGTATTAGAAGCTGAAATTTTCCAATTAGTAATTTTAAACCTTTATCTTTCGAATGACCATAGAAAACCCAAAAAACAAATTTTATCGAGTGCTTCGATTCCTCGGTGCTGTCATGGATGCTCTCTTAACAAGTTTAAGTCAGATTGGAAATAATTACACAAAGAAACATTGCTCGTAGTAAAATCTGGCATGAGTCATCAAATCATATGGTAGCAGAATAAGAAAGAAAAAAAACACAAAAGAACATGTAATCTACAGAAGAAAAAAGAATTGGTCCCTATGAGGATCGAACTCATGACCTCCGCGTTATTAGCACGGCGCTCTAACCGGCTGAGCTAAGGGACCGCGTTTGTTTTCATTTTCGAAATGAATATCTATATGCACAATCGGCGTATTCAAATTCGATCAAATGTTTATATAAACGTTTCTAATTTAGAGTTAAAAATAATCAAGACAGAATATGTTTTGAAGTTTTTAAAAAATTTCACGAGTCGTGTTTTTTAAACAGTGAAGCAACAAAAACATCAATTGACAAAGTTCTTTATGTATACATATATATATATATATATATATATCGATTATGAAAAGGTTAAAAAATCATTTTTAAATGTTAAACAGTCATCATCTATAGACTTCGATTTTGTACTTGAAGGCACGTAACTTGAAACAGATTGCTTATCGGTGTAACTGAGATCGTAAAAAGAACTAGAAAACATTTCAAGTATTCAATTATCTTGTTAATAAATATCTGAGTGGTTGACATTCTCTTGATATCATCAATCCATATATCTACTTGTACTTTGATATCGGCTTTTCTGCTTTCAATCCATGTCATAAATAAATATTCTCAAACCAGTTTATAAGTTACACGAGGACGATCTTTATTAATAAAACATGAAGTAATATCGTTATTTACAAGGTTCTATATACAAACTCAGATTAAAAGAAAAAGAAAAAACAACATATCTGACGACCGAACAATAAAATGAAAAATAAATTTATGGCAAAGCCAAATACGTTGTTTTTTTCCTATAAAAACTATTCTACAATGTTATGCAATCAATGAAATTCCTTCTTTTTTTAGAATATATTTGACAGCATCAAGAACATCATGCTGAATTGTTGTTGGTTTTTTCCAATGTTCTTTTTCTTCAGTTAATTGTTTATTTGGATCATAAACACCTGTACATACTAAAATTGATTGACAGGATGTTGCAGTTAAGTGTGTTGGATCTGTAATCAAATCGAAACCGCTGATACTTTTTCTTGCATCAACATCTTGTTGTAATAAAGAATTGTACATATTTGCACCAACAATATCAACATCAGGATTATCCCTAGAAAATGAAATTTTAATGTTAGGAAAAAAACAAAACTATTCGTAACATCAAATATTTACCCAATGAAATAGATTTTATCAATTTTTTGTTGTCCTTTAGCAAGAGCGAGCTTATTAGCCATGATTTCAGCATATTGAAATGATATTTCAAATGGTTTACCAACAAACGCTTTATATACCAAGTCAGTTCCACTAAGATTCTATTTTGCAAAAACAAAATAGAATTTCGATAAATATTGGATCTTTTTTTTTCTAAAATTTACCTTATATAAGGCTTCTAAACATGTAAGAAAAGCACCATGGCCGAAACGTGGTAAATCAGCAGCAGCTTTGAAAACTAAATCTCGATTACAAGCAATAACCGGCATATGAGAACGATTAACTGATGTATCAACAGGTACAACTGATGGATTGCCATCCGTTAAAAGAAGATCAGTTATAACTTGTAACGAACTCTCCCAGCTGATGGGTTCACCAAGTAAAACAATAGCTATATTAGAAAACTGCAAATAATATAAAACTTATGATGAAACAATAATTTACCATCGATAGGATGAAAATTTTTATTACGAACAACATTTTGATTTTTGATCATATCACTCTAAATAAAAATAATGATTAAAGTTATTGCAAATAATTATTTATTTGACCTTACAAATTTAGCTCGATTCATATGATTTACCATGTCTAATTCTGGAAAGGCTTCACAGACTTTTTCAACTGTTGTTATACTTTTAAAGCCAAGCCTTTTATAAAAAATTAAATAAAAAATTAAATAAATACTTCTAGAAATAATAATATACGTACATTTGTCCTATTTCTTCTGTTGGACCTTGCCCAGATATTAAAACATGTTTGTTGTGATATTCAGCTAAAGTACGCATTGGTGTTTGAGCAAGAACAACTTGTTCAGGATCAATCTATATTATAAATAAATATCAATATATCCTAATGATCAATGAAACTTACAGTGATACCAAGCATCGCTGATAATTGTTTGGCTTTTTCCGATTCTATTGCACAAGTATTTGAAACAAAAACGACTGGAACATTAAGTTCCATTAGTGTGTGAATAGCTGGTTTTGCAGCTGCAATAAAATTTGGACCTTTCGTAATGACTCCATCAATATCAAAAAGACAAGCAAAGTTATGCTATTTAAAAAAGAAAGAACATGAAGAATAACAATTCGTATATCATCCAGTTCAAATTACCGTTTTCATTGAAGATTCTTGGTCTTAGCGTTTGATTTGATACAAGTAATTTATGACTTGAGATTCCGGATTTTTATTGTTTCTAATCAAATAGAGATAATTTCAGCCTTTATATAGTTTTCAGACGGCTGCGATAAGACAGAGGGGTGTGCGTGTGATTCAAAAATATGAGGGCGTGTGAGCCACACAATTTGTTGGAAAATGAAAATTTTCTCGCTGATGCTCAGGTGGCTGATCAATTCGTGCCTACAGTCGGGCAGTTAATATATATACTGGTAGACAGAAGCATACGCTCTCGGAATGATTTTGTTATAAAATCGTTGCATCTTATTTTATAATTCATCATATGATGTTGTGGCGCTCTGCGTGACGACAAGAGGGTGAGGGTTCAAGCCAGCTTTTTCTCATTGCCGTTCTCTTACAAGGATGTAGCCAACAACAGAACGCATGCACTTTTCTCTTCCTCGATCATACATTCGACGCATGCAGACAACATGTCTATATGTGTTCTATCTCTAGGTCTGCCGTACAACGGCAAATGAAGACTTATTTATATCCATACATTCAGTGTATGATCAATCTATACTTATCAATCAACAAGAAAAATGCTATGTTTACAATAGTACTTTATTGTCGAGCAATAAAAATAAAAACGTAAAGATACATCATAGTCGATACTTTTCCCTTTTAAGTACAATACACCTTTATTTACTTCTCCACTAGACAACAAGTAAATATTTGCTCAGGAAACTTGATGTGATTCAAATTTGACCTAAACATACTTAAGAGTTTGTTTTCATGATCGAATACAAAGTTCAAGAAATAACATCATTCTCTAAGGACAATCTTTTCTATGGCATAGGTTATATGAGTTATTATATTGAGCTTTGTGAATTACATGAATATTTTGAAATTTGACACGAACTCGTTGTTAATGCATCTTATTTTCATAGAATTAATTAATTAAATCAGAAAGTGAATATCAATCACTATTATTCATCTCGACAATAACCTAAACAAAACGCTGATATTTGTTTACGATCCATGGTCTTCTATCTGTAAATGTCAGTGAATTCATCGAGTGCATCATGTTTTAACACACTGTGCGTCGCACCGAAATTATTCAGTAAACAAGGATAATGACCTTGATAACCTAAACAGTTGAAAGATGCATCTTTTTTTGAATATTATAAATAGTACTAGTACCGCTAATAAATCGTTTGCCATAATTATTATTACGCATTTTATAAACATTCAGACTAGAGTCTTGTGCTTTGCATCGGACGTTTCTTGCATGGTTGCCGATTGGTTACTAAGGTATTTGCTCACGTGTGTAGTACAACTAGGAAGAAAGAAAAACACGTATCTTTATCGTTATTTTGTTTTCAATAGAGCACGCGCAAATCTTATCTACTACCATTGAGTCTATTGACACATCACTTTTAGTAGTATAATTATTTTCTAATAGTTTTGTAATTTAAACTCTAGCGCATAGTGTCTTTTTTGTGTTTGATCATCTTCAAAATCAGTGGTAGATTTTAAAAATAAATTCTTAATAATTTTGCCAAATTTTTCTTGTATGGTTGGTATATGTCAACTATATCTAGAAATATTAATATCAGACGTATAGATTTTACTAATAATCGTTGAATTAGAGTGTACTTCAAATGTTTGATTCTTAATCGAATCTATTGCTGATGAAAATAAAGTATCGGGACGTGTATAAATATTAGGATTATAAAACACGCGACAACTCACTTCACGATGAGTTAAACTAAACACGTGAGATTCTTGTGGAATTTTCCCACTATAACCCGCTAGATGATAATATCTCTTCGTGAATCAATTTCTTCCTACAACATTGTTTAAAATTCTGATTTATTTGATTAAGTGACGAATTAAAAGTACGCTTTGTGGTAACAGTAGTTACTTTCGAATAATCAAAATAACTATTACAAGATCGTAGAGTTTCTTTCTTTATGTGATATGATGAATATCGATGATTTGATATAGAAAAAAGAGATCGAAAATGTTCACATTTATACGTTCGATATAATTTTCGTGCTGCTAGAACTCTCAATGTCAGAATGATGGAAGAAATCGTCTCATTATTAGGTTATACTTGATGAAAAAAAATAATTAACATATAAATGTAAAACTCAATGAAATCTGCTGAAGAAACAATGCTGGTATATTGAATCATATTTTTATAAAGAATACCAAGTACGATGTCAACCCTTTTCGGTGAATGAAAAAAACAATATTCAATATTTAGCGTATTAAGTCGTATTTTCGCCACTGAAAGGATTTAAAAACAAAGCCTATTCATGTGACTTTGTTTTCAAGTTCTTACTTCGTATGATGTAAATGGATACCATGAAAAAGTTTTAAAAAAGATCGAGTTTCAAGCAGTATTAAAAGTCCTGCGCTATAATCCTTCAAGCTCTAGAAAAATACTAACGAATTATTCTATTCAATCTAAATAACCTAGTTGTAACCCTATTCTTTTCATTAATAATTTGTAAATATTCATAGAAAAAAAAACTAATTATTATTAAACACATGACTGAAGTATGAATTCAAAACTGGACTCGTGATAGTACGGAAAAATTGAATGTTGATTAAAAAAGTGCATATTTTTTATTGTACCATTATTCCATATGAAAACGGATGAGGAGGAAATTTTTATATATTAATTTATTTGTGGATCTTGTGTTAGCATGAAATGTTGTACAAGCTTAATTTATTTTGTTTTCGTCAGAAAAAGTGTGATCTGCATATAAAAAAATGATATGTAAAAGAATAAGACCAAATATTGTCTTCGAACGTTAAAACCTTCTTAAAAATGGCTCCACGTATCAACAGGGAATTTCCTTTTTTTCGCAACTCCTAAGAATCTCCTATCATTACTGATATTACAAATCGAGTTGAAAGGTCATAGGTTATCACATGTCAACGTCGTCCATAAATTATAAATAGATATAAATACAGTTTTGTATGTTTTAAAAAGCGAAGGTTTCAAATTATTGCATAGATTTTTGAATACAACCAACAAACACAAGCATTGATCAAGTTCTAATTTTCTGAAATAATCAATAACAGAGTGAAGAAATTTATTGAGATAAATATTAGCACATCATGTTCTATTGTACAAGTGCAGAAACTCTACAAAAAGGAGCCACGCTTGCCATTGAAATCAAAGTCTAGAATAACAGCAAGAGTGAATAAAGCAAAAGCAAAAGAAAATATATTACTGATAGTAGCTTAGAAACAAGGCAAATCGTCTCTTGAGCTATAGTCTGAGTAGAAAGGCAATTGGCATCTATTAAAAATTGTTCCCAGTACATGTTTATTTTTAGCATCTTAAATCTGAAGAACGTATTCAAGTTTATTACGGAATACTAAGTTTCTATTTTTCAAGAAATTCAAATGAAATGACTCTGAGAAAAATTTCATTCAGTAGCTTCAATACTAACATTGCTAATAAGCGCTGTGACCTATTGGCTCTAATTTTCTTTGACTGCTAAAAATTCAAAGCACAAAAGTATAAACTTCACATAGAGCTGGGCTGGCAACCATTGATGTAAATGGATCTTTTTTCTTCACTCATAAATATTCCTACTAACTTAATTGTTCTGTCACTGAAAATATTGAAATGAATTTTCAAGCTAAATTTACTAGTAGTCTATGAGTTGTACTATTTCGATTAAATGTGTAACAATCAATTTTAGCTATACATTATTTACATTGAACCTGAACTCTTCCAATTATTTGAAGAAGTTTAAGTTTCCCGAAAATAGGAGTTTCTCTTGAATTAGCTTTCATTTTATTTTCGAAAGTTAAATAAGTGTGAGCATGCGATGCTTCTCTATTGTAGAAAATGTAGCCGTTTTAACACATTCTTATTGAATGCTATTATAATATTGACTAAATAGACTATATTCTATTACATGAAAATCAGTTGTTTTTGTGTTATTAACAGTAAGTTGAATTGTTTTTTTCAATGAAACTATACGTTTTGTTCAGTCTTTTGAATGTTTACTTGAGAGTGGTTGATAACACATCGAATATATCGCTATAATTAGAATTGGCGTTTATATGATACTGAAGAGTATCTGGAGCTAGGATTGAAAAAAGCTTAGCTTATAGTTTCTTATGAAATTTCGTGTTCTCAACTTTTGTAATCGTCATGAGAGAGATATATGCACCGTCCTAAAATTGAATATCCAAGAGATTCAAGTAGGGTTTAGTATTAGTAGCCACCGTATTAAGAAGAACGTAAGACTTTAACAAACTGAGTAGTTGCAAAATATTTTGAATTCACGAATTCAGCCTAAATAAACCTTGAGATTTTAATTTCTCGATGAAAGACACTTGCCAATCTGTGAAGTATTCGACCTAATATCATGTTAAAAAAGCAATCAAGACAAAATAATTTTTTTAAATAACAGTTTTCAGTGTGCAGTAGTTTTATCGAAAGGAAAGATGTCAATAAGGAAAAATATCGAAAAAGAAAATTGTATGAAAAAAATGCCCAAATCGACAGCTATGGTGAAAAGTAACGTCTCCAGTAATTGGCGACATTTGCGCATCGACAGTTTTTTTCTTGTGAATTTACTAGTCTGGGTTTGTAACTAGGCGTAACGGTAATGCGTAGAGTCTGATATAGATCAATTAAAAGAGATGACGAAAGAACTACTCTATAAGAAAATTCTTGATATAAGATATTGCGATGGTCTTATAGCCCGCATGGAATATTTAGATCGGTTATCATTTGTTTCCTTTCGATGAAACTAACACCAGCCTAGTTCTATGTCAGGTTCTAAAATATTTTCTGGTTCAATAAATAAAACATCAACATCTCACATAAATAGAAGTACAGTTTTACCCCCATGATTACTAATGACGTAAATAATGATAATAATAATAATATTCTCTTTATTCAAAGTTGAAAATTCTAATTAAAACAATCGATTTATCAATTGTAAACAGGTAACACTTGATAAAAAGTATTTTTCTACCAATTACTAGAACGTTTTGCACTCGGGGAAAGCCTAAAAACTACTCTTATTCATCAATTTAAAGTCAGCTTGAAAAAATTTCTATTACTGTACTCATAAGATATGGTTTCCTGATTGTTTAATTAAAAAGTCTCAGAATAAGTCATGTTTGCAATTGAAATCAGCCATCAACAAATAATTATTAACTAAGTCTATAAGAATAAAGTTAAGACACTGTTTTTTTCCTTGATACTGCCAACAGTTAATATAAAAATATCGATTCTTTCTTTTTTCCAAATCATTATGTTTTATGGTTGCAACAATTATTATGTACTCAATGACCTCATTGCTTTTAATTGCCAAAAAACGACGACGAGATTATGAAGTGCACAATACCTATCATGGTCTGAGTGCGTGTTCTACAATGTTTACTGCAAGCATTTATTCGTATATTAAAACTAGGGAATGATCGACTCCGAACTAGATTTGTGATTTACTTCGATGGTCTGCATCGTAAACATTGTTACACAATGGTTTTTTGGGGCACACTCATGTTTTCAATAGTTTTTTCCTTACGTTTAGAGTACAAATAGTGTCCACTGGTTTTTCTCTCTAGTTAACTTGTACTTGGTACACTAAAAACTAACGGCGAATGAGTTTAATCGACATCAAGATAAAGATAAATAGAACGAAAGAAGTCATCGTGGGTACTATTGCATTTTATTTTATTTTATTTTATTTCTCTCTTCACAATTATAATATATATAGACCGTGTACTTTTAGAAAACGTTATCATATCATATTGCTCCAATTAATATATCATGAATCAAATGGTGAGTCTCCATCTCTAAAATTCTTCTGCAATTGGGTGAATGTTTAAGCGTTCATGAGTCACGAATAGAGAATGTTTGTTTTTTGTTTTATTTTTCATAGAAATCATCATTGAAAAGAGTTAAAAAGACATCAAGTGAAGACATTATAAGTAATGAAGGTGATGAAACGGATCAACAACATCATTGGCACAATCGTACTCGAACGATGCAGCAAAATTTAAACAAAAAGCTGTTAGGCAAATCAGTATTAGTGATATTACACTGGTAAAATTTTTTAATCTCGATTCTTTTTTTTTTAAATTTCAACATTTATTATTTTTTTCTAGTTAGAAAAGATTCAAACAGTAAAGAAAATTTTTAATCACCATTTACGTTATACTGTAGTTAAAGATCGCGATGTAGCGCTACTGAACGAGATTATTATTCATCATTAGCTTACACTGGTTTGTTTCATAGAATAATTCTAGATGTTTATTTTTTTTCTATAAAAATTTCATGGTCTCCTCTAGTTCATGATCATCTTGTTGGTCGATGGATTCGTACGCAGCAACATCATTTTGAAACTGATGGAAAGGTTGATAGTTTCGTTGAATTTTAATTCATATATTTCTGTATTTCATTTTCTTTTAGCGTGTATATTATCTTTCTATGGAACTTTTTATGCGAAGAACATTGGGAAATTGTATGATAAATTTAAGAATTGAAAATGGTGCTGATTAAGCTCTTTATGAGTTGAATTTAGATATTGAAGAATTAGAAGAACGTGAAATGGATGCAGCACTTGGCAATGGTGGTCTTGGTAAGTCAATACAAAAACAACTGATCATCCCTGAGTAATGTTCAATTAACAATAGCTACTTTTTTAGCATTTTTCTCCTAAACGTCCTACGTTCATATGTTACTGCCTTTAAATCTTTTCCGTACTTCTTTTATTTATGATTTAGCTTTCTGTTAGGTCGATTAGCTGCATGTTTTCTTGATAGGATGGCTACATTAGGACTTTCGTCATATGGATACGGTCTTCGATATGATTATGGTATGCATATATTTATTTTTCAAACTAATGATAACGTAATATATTTGTTTTTCGCAGAAATGTTTACGGTAAAAAATCGACGATGGTGATCAAAAAGAATATTCAGACGATTGGTTAATATATGGCAACCCATGGGAAATGAGTCGCCCAGAATTTCTCGTACCTGTACAATTTTATGATGAAGTTATTGAAGAAAATGGAAAAGCTAAATGGGTTGATACAGAAATTATACGAGCTATGCCATTTGATACACCAGTACGGAAATTAAATGCTTCAAAAACAAAATAATAAAGGTTATGTTTTGTTTTTGTAAATAAATTTAGATTCCTGGTTATGATAATAATGTTGTAAATACACTTCGATTATGATCGGCTAAAGCACCAGGAAAATTTTATTTTCAATTATTTAATTCCGGTGATTACATTCGTGATGTTGCTGAACAAGTAATTAAAAATAAATGAAGATTATTTTTCAAGACGTTATTTATTTCATTCTTTTAGAGTTTTACAGAAAATATTACTCGAGTATTATATCCAAATGGTAATGTATGTTCTTTATTAAATCGAAATTTGTTTTTTTCTAATGAAAATTTTATCTATGTAGTTTGATGAAGGGAAAATTCTTCGTTTAACACAGCGATAATTTTTAGTATCAGCTTCATTACTAGATATAATACGACGTTTTAAAATTTCTAAACCATATTCGAATACGGATAAAAATCCCGATTTGACATGTTTTCCAGACAAAGCAGCTGTTCAATTGAACGACACGCACCCAACATTATCTGTTGTGGAATCGATGCGTTTATTAATTGATGAAGAGAATTTGAGTTGGGATCAAGCATTGGATATGACGAAGAAAACGATTGCTTATACAAATTATACATTATTACCTGAAGCCTTAGAACGATGGCCGACCTATTACCATGCTTGAGAAACTTTTACCACGTCATTTACAGCTGATTCAACAAATTAATGCGCATCATTTAGACGTAAGAAAAAATACAAAAGTATTTTAAAATATTTGATTATATTTTTTTGCTCTAAAGCTTGCACAACAAAAATGGCCTGATGATGGGGACCATCGTAGACGAATGTCGATTATTGAAGATCAAGTAAGAGTTGAATTGCATAGATTTTCAACACTTCTATCCGATAATACATCAATGATCGTCAGTAGTAATACAACAAGGTAACGCGACGTTTGCGTCGCCAACCCTCTACTGAAAGGATTTAGTCATGTGGAACGTCGCTATCCAAAACTATCTGGCTGAGAGACTTCACATTTTATAGCTTCGAAATGATTTTCATGGAAAACACGATTGATAACAGAGCATAAATAGAAAACTTGCTTGGAAGTATCACCAAGAAAGCGGCATTTAATTACTACTTACTAATATTATATGGCGGTACTGAAGCTAAGTGCATCCGATCTGGTACAGCTCAAGCTACGCCCCCAAAAACTTTCGATCAACTTAATAACGGAGTGAAGAAAAAGACCCACTCATGACAGCTATGATCGAAATACTCCATTTTAGTAACGTTATAACTCAAATTGGTCTAGGAACTAGATATTTAACATGAATCTGGACGAGTAGATCAGAGATTACATCAAAGTGTATTTTTCTAACTCGATTTCGGTCAGATTTGAACTAATTTTTGCTCAACCTCATATGGGTTCTTTTTGTTTCGGTGAGTTTCCCGTCTAGAACGAATACATTCATTCTTGAGTGCACGTTCACACATAGATAAGCCTAAGATTTACATCTTTTGAATCAAATCCACTCGCAATCAGGGAAACCTAACCTTATTAACATAATCACGACATGTATGAATTTCAAATGTTTCACACGAGTTGAGCAATTATTTCACGACCTGTCGTCGGAAGAAATTCAAAATATGTCCTATTTTCGAAAGTTGTTTCAACATTTCTGATCGAGACAACGTGTAACTGTTCTATAAATCTGCAAGGCAAGTAGTCCTATAATAACAACAGACTTTCAACTAGTGGGGCGGCTAGTCATTCGTCGATGCCCCTCTGGGGCGCCACTCACGACTACCCGCCCCCATTTCTTTTCTCTCATATATGCGGTGAACATCCTTTTAAACACCGCATTACTGATTCAAAGGTTCACCTCATTCTATAATTATTAGATAAAAACGAAGAGAATTTTCAAAAATAAACGAAAACAACAGTTGTGGGGCTAATTCAATTCAATTACATCTACGTATGCGATAAATTCATCACAATTTAGAGAAAAATGGGACATGATTCCCGAGTACTTATCAGTTTGCGTCCGTTCGTAGATACACTAATCTAGAATTCAAGGAGTTAAGTTTGAATAAATTCTTCGTGCTGCAATAAAAGTTGACATATCAAGAATAAACTGAAGATTTTGAAAAAAGCTTTCAAACACTCAGTGCAAGTGAGCGGCTAGCCGCTCCCAAATTGAGAATCAATTCAACCGCACGATGCCTATAGCCTATTCGTAATAATATCTCACATAACCATACGATACATCTAACACTATAAACATCATCAAATGGTATCCTCAAAAAATTTCCCTACAAAGCATTCCTATCAAGAAAATGTGACGATCTAAACAGCTCATAATCCATTACAAACTTGTTTGAAGTACAAAATTTCAACAATCTGACAACGCCATCGTGTTCCCCGACCCCGGTTACCTTCGGTCAATCCTTACAGAAAACTATTTTTTTCCTAAAAAAAGTCTCTCTCACCCTAAAAAAAGGAAAAAGAAAAAAGAAAAATTTTCAAAAATCTGGCAACGTCATCGTGTTCCCCGACCCCCGATTACCTTCGATGAAACCTATCTCTACAGATATTGTTTGAGGTTAGTGAAGTTTATGCATCTGCTTTCCTATTGGACGAACGAGCGGACACACACACGAACGAACGCATTTAACTCACTTTTCGTAAGACCCTCCTTTCAGTAGAGGGAATTAGAGAAGAGTCTATACTAAGATTTTTCTTACATTGATAACACGTTGGAATCGATACGATTCAGGTTTATGAATGTGATTGTATTTGTTTCATTCAAAACCATTTGTTCAAATCGATAACCCTGGTTAGTTGATCTTCCTTTCATTGATGCTAGGATAGAAATTCAAGAAAACAATGTTTCCAGTTCTTCTACTTATTAAATTTTCATGTTCTTTCACTTTCTGATTGTCTAAAACGAAAAGAAATGTTTTGATAAATCTCTCATTCAGTAATATAGAAATTTCATCTTGATGTTTAGCCCATTTGATTCTATATATTCTAGTGAAAACTATTGATTAAATCTTACAAATGAATTTTTCATTTTTTCCTCTATTTTAGGTTGTCAATATGGGCTACTTGTCTATTGTGGATTCACATGCTGTCAATGGTATTGCTGAACTTCATAGTAGTTTATTAAAATCTACATTGTAAATTATATTTCTTTTCTTTTAATTTTCAATAACTAGAATTTTATTCCTTAAGTTTAGATTTAAAGACTTTTATGGACTCAGTCCTGAAAAATTTCAAAATAAAACAAATGGTAAAACACCGCGCCGTTGGTTACTTTTATGCAATCCTGAGTTATCTGATCTAATTGCAAGTAAAATTGGTGAAAAATGGATAACAGATCTATCTCAATGGCGTAATTTTGTTAATGATGAACAGTTTGTTCGAGATGTTCAACGCATTAAACTTGTATGTCTATTTCGTTCGATTGGATCGAATATGGAAAAAGCAAAAGTTTCTTCGTATTTACTTTAGGGAAATCAGCAAAGTTTACTTACCAAGTTTACAGAAGAATATGGTTTTTAAATATAAATCCAGCTTCGATGTTTGATTTACAAATAAAGCGTATACATGAATATAAACGATAATTATTAAATTGTCTTCATATTATTACACTTTATAATCGCATTAAAGATAATACAAATATAAAAACTGTTCCACGTACAGTTATTTTTGGTGGAAAGGTTTAATAACAAATAAAAGCATTTTTCTTTCTATAATCATATTGACTGTTTTTAAGGCTGCACCTGACTATTTACAAGCAAAACTAAGTATGTTTAGGCAATAGTAGGAAAGGAAGATAGATTTCTTTTTCTATATTTTTAGTTATAAAATTGATCTGTAATGTTGGACGTATAGTTAATCATGATTCACAAATTGGTGATCGAATTAAAGTTATTCTTCTGGAAAATTATCGTGTCAGTCTAGGTATGGATAAAATAAAATATGAATAATTTTGAACTTTGAATACAAGTTTTTTTCTTTTCATGAGTGGATCATTTCTGTTTATGCCTATTTTTTTAAAAACAAAGAATTCATTGATAATCTTAAGATAAATTTCAGGTTTGATAGAAAATCACTATGTTTGAGTTATATTTTTGCTTGCGATAGGACGATGTTTCTTTGAGATATTCATAGAGCAGACGTTAAAAGTAAATAACTTAATAATTAAAAATATTACGCAGGTCTTGATTGTATCTTTGCCAACAGTTTATGAGTGATTCTCCATTGAGTAATCTTAGTCTTCAAAAACAGCCTTGACATAAAAAGGCTTTATCATGCTTTACAGGGCGAAAGTCTTCATGTAAAGGACGAAGAATGAAACCCTACATAGAAACGTACACTTTTCTTGAATAATATTTAACGGTTGTCTCATCAAATTGTCATTTTATCAAACTAATAATTTGTATGTGATTTGAATTTTTTGGATCTAACCTCAATTTTTTAATTATCTGATGAAAACCTGCAAACGTTTATTTTTTAAGCTGAAAAAATGATTCCGGTTGCTGACTTATCTGAGCAAATATCTTTGGTTGGCTTGGAAACATCTGATACATGTAATATGAAAATGATGCTTAATAGAGCATTAACTATTGGCACATTGGATGGCGCAAATATTGAAATGGATGAGGAAGTTGGACGTGGAAATATAATTATATTTGGTATGCCAGTAACAGATGTTGATGCATTAAAGGGAAAAGGGTAAACAAAATGCTGAGCTACATCATTTTAATTACAAAAACGATTTTCTTTAATAGATATAATTCAAGAGAATTTTATGAACATGAACCAGAATTAAAACGAGCATTAGATCAAATACGTGGTGGATATTTTTCACCAGAAGATCCAAATTTATTTGCTGAAATTGTTAAGAGTCGACTTGGTTCGAATGGTCAGTATGTGTGAAAATTAGTTTCATGTTGAACAAGAATCGTATGCTAACTCTGTCTTTTAGATACATGTTGCTTGCTGATTATTCTGAATATATCAAAGCACAATATCGTGCTGATAACTTATTCAAAGTAAAAATTTCGGTAAATATTCTATTTCAAAAAGAAACTATTTCAGGACCAATTTGAATGGACGAAGAAAGTCATATTAAATATAGCTGCATCAGGGAGAATTTTCATCTGATCGAGCAATTGCACAATATGCTAAAGCAATCTGGAGTGTTACGCCATCAGACAAAAAAAACTACCTGATCCAGAAGAAGGTCGAACAGGAATGAAAGATGAAGCAGAAAAATGCGAACAATCGCAAACACACGTTCGACGAAAAGATTGTTAGAAAATGTTTTTCAAAGTCTCATTTGTTTTTAACTACAAACTGTTTAATAAAGAACAAAGATTAGATTTGAACTTATTTTCTTTGTTTCCACGTTTTATTGTATAATTATTTATTCGCGCATTCAAATCAATTTATATTTTATAAACAAGAATTTCATTTCAATGGCATTGTTTATTTGTTTTGTATGTTTTTAAATTAAACTTTAGAAAATATTGCGAAAAAAAAGAGTCCTGCTTTCAAAATCAATTAGTCATGTGGATATTTGGGTATGGTTCACTTGTATGGAAACCTGATTTCCGATATATAAGCCGACAAGAAGGTCATGTGAAAGGTTTTATTCGACGTTTTTGGCAACTATCCGAGGATCACCGAGGGTTACCAGGAAAAGTAAAAAAGAACATCAATGCTGAACAATTCAAATAGAATTCATATATTTATTATATTTAGCCTGGCCGCGTAGTTACATTAATTTCAACTGGAAATCAATGTGTAAGTCTAAAAAGACATCGTTTGCATAACAAAGTCGTCTGACCAATATATATTATGATTAGAGGTTAAAAAGTCCCGTCCGTGTATAAATTTGGAGAATCAATGAAAATACTCTTTGATCTATTTGAACAGTTTCGTATATTTAATATTCATTTTGATCCGGTAACTGGCTAACCCGAAGGAAAAATACCAAACTTTTATTAAAAATGTTAAAATAAACATAGGAATATGTTGGGAAAGAGGTTGAATATTCTGGGAAGGAAGTTTCAAATTAGCCTGGGATTTGTTGGCATTCTGGTTCTTTTTCTAAGCGAGTATTTTACCTATTAATCATTACATAATTGAAACATACTAAATTAGAAATACAAAGATTGACGTTAATGTTCTGTTTTGATTTCACTTCTATCAAGGAAATGGCTAAGCATATGTTCCTTTTTTGTCAGACAACTATCTTTTTTTGTTGACAAGATGTTATCGTATTAATAAGAGATTGTATAACAGTTTTCTCTAGGACAGATTATCTCGAAATCTTTAATTTAACCCAGGATACGCTTGTAAGATTATTTTACGGAGATTTTCCGTAATGATAAAAATGTTATATGAGAATATTTACTTGAGCGATTAAACAAACGTTGATTTCAGCGAAAAAAATTTTTTACTATGACCCTGCAGTCTTTCCAACGGATTCAAGCCCTGTGTAAAAAAGTTTCTACAGACGTTTGCCCTGAAAGAAAATAAAATTTTCATTTTTTCTTAAGAAATTTGACATTGTTTTGATATATCTATATACAAGTTTCATGTAGTTGAGTAAATTTATATCGATTTGCATGTTTGATGAGAAATGACTAGGAGGAATTATGCGTGAAACATAGAATAGTGTACCCATTGAAGTGATTGCCGAGAGAAAATAATCATCTAATCTGAAAATTTACTTTTTTTGATTGCTCTAATAACAATTTTAATGAAACTCTTCGATGTCCGCATGATTAAACTCGCTAGATTTTCCATTTCTATTCATATATTCTATAAATATTTCATAGAATTTTTCTATCGATTCTATAATGATTCTGTTTTTGTTAGTTCTCTTGAATATCGATTTTTTGAAGACTATTGTTAGGATTGAAGATTTCAGAAAAATTGAATGTCGCAGTTTTGACTATAAATTTCTTTCAAGTGAAGACATCCTATATACTAGTCTAAATGAAGCATTTCTTCTTTAATTAGAAATATGAATTTTCCATAATATAATTTTTTTGTACTACGCAGTTTCTAGAAAATTTTTGTCATTTGAAGAAGATCACTTTTGCGACTAATATATACCAGATTAAAAAGTCGAATTAAGTTCATAATAGAATTTATGAGTAAGATGTTGTGAAAACTTGAGTTGAGTTACAGGAGAAAACTTCTTAGTACAAAAACGATGTTCTGCAGTAGTTCATTAGAATATTTTAATCATCATGTTAGTTATTGAAACCTTCAGAAGACATCTATAATGTTCCATCATCGGTTCGTTGTTCTTTATTTTTATATAAATAGGAATACTTTTGAATAAAACAAGATCTTGTCTGATAATCTCTGATGTAGAATATATAATTTTTTTCAAATATTTAATTTCAATATTGTTCTCAAACAAAAGAAAAACAAATAATACGTAGGAATTGAATTCCATTCATCTATCTATCTATGGACGATTTTGATCTATGATGATATTGTTTTTCGTTGCTAATTAGATATTCCATTATCTGATGAGAATATGATCGCATAGAAATGAAAAGCTTGCCTCAGGCAAATGTTACCGGAAATATAACTAATTACAAATAATTAAATAGAAAAAGCATGCCAGATGGAATGTTATCTAATTTAAATTAATTTTACTTTTATAGATATCATAATATCCTGTGAGATAGTAAGGAAATCTTGACTTACATTATAAAATTAGCTCTATAGATTTTATGTACTTTTTTTTCAAATTTTATTTATCCAGGACTGTGTTTATGGTGTCGCCTATGAAATATCAAATGCAGACGAAGTGAGCGTACGCCATGTGCTTGATGTACGTGAAAAAGATGGCTATACAATAATTGAAACAAATTTTTATCCAAAAGATGTCGAACAAAAAGATATGACGTGTTACACTTATATGGCACATAGAGAAAATCCATTTTGGGGCGGTGATGCACCGTTAGATCAAATAGCTGAACAAATTGCTCATGCCTATGGACCAAGTGGTACTAATCATGAATATCTATTTAAATTAGCAGAAGCCATACGAACAATAACGTCGGCACATGATGAACATCTATTTACACTTGATCAACTTGTCAAAACAATCTTAACGCAAGATGAACAAAAATAAAATGATTAGTATTGATATAGGAAAAACACGATTTTATTGTCTCCCGTTCTCGAAATTATGCCTATACAACGGTTGATTATAGTAAATAAATGTTTTTCTGTATTTTAACAGAAATAAATTCATAGCTACATACTTTGCTTTTCTATAAATTACACTAAAGAAGAGGTGTTTATGCCTTATTCGATGATAAATGTCCATAGAAACTCGACTATAATAAAAGAATTAATTCACCGGATGAAATCTGTCATTAACACCTTTTCTTCATGAACGGTCATGAAAAAAAAGAAAAACGACAAAAAACAAATTATATGATGCGTATTGTACCCATATTCAAAGAAGCATTGAGCTTAGCCTTCAAACAAGAGACACAGAAAAAAAAGACGAAGAGAACGTAGCTGGAAATTATTGTGATTATCATTAGCATCCGAGGAGACAGAGAAATCAAAGAAAAGAAGAAAAAAGAAGGATTAAAGGCGAAGACGGATAGAAAAGAGGAAGCTATCGGATACTGAAACGAAAGATGTGCGCGCGCTGACAACAACATTCACCGTTTTTTAACGTTACGTTAAATTATTATAATTTTATTCCAATAGAAAACACGATACCTACTATCAGGTAACTATCTCTAGTGAGTTTGGTGAGCGTTTATTTAAGGAGGTGTTTCAATCCATCAAAACTACTATGTTCTAATATTAAAATTAGAAGATAAACATTTACGGAAAAATGAATACCTGAAGTTTCTTTTATTTATTCAACCATTTCATTTTATTCCGGCGACTATCAATTTTCACATAATCATAATCATAAAAGACTTTCGACATAAAACATAATTCTTATAATTGAATTTTCAAGGATTAAAATTATAAATTCAGGTGCTGTACAAAAAGAAAAAAAATTCTATTATATTATGATAAAATAAATAATTTTCCATTGTAATAAAAAATTCTCTTTTTTATCTAGAACTGTTTACGATGGCCTCTCAGTTTGAAACGTCTGATAATAGGTAAGTAAAAAAAGAATTAACCAAAATAGAGTGCATTCGTTTCTCATTTCCAGTGTGTTAGCGATTTTGTTAGCGAAACGACCTGTTTGTTATACGAGTATTGATAATTCTATATTAAACATATATGATACATTTTCTTTTTTGAACAGCTGTATCAACTTTTCTTGTTTCTATCAACTGTTTAAACACAGATTAATTGACAGAAAGTGTTTTACCATTCTTTTCTTTTCTTATTATCAACAGTATTGAATCATGAACGTAGAACGATATGAAATGCACTAGGTAAATTATTCAAGAAATTTTAACCGTAGGTATTTATACTTTCAGCTAGAATTTTTAGAATTTAAAAATGTCTCCATAATGCGTATGCGTGCGCCAGTGATACTCGTTTGTTTTTTGCGTTTCATCTCGTTCTTTTGTCTATTTTTGCTCAATGGAAATTAGGACAAGACAAAAGGGAAGTTAGAAAAAGAAACAACAAGATGAACTAACCATAAAAGAATAATGAGATAGCAAATAACTACTATTATGATTAGCAAAAATAATACGTTCAGGTGGATTCACTTTATAATTTAACAAAAATAATGCGAACAACAATAACAAGTTCCAGACGTGAAACAATACCTACAAGCTTAGTAAGGTAAAAGAAATAAATAAACAATTTTACTTTATTTCAACATCGGATAATTGACTACATATAAATCGATTTGCTTTTAACGGATAGAGAAGAAAAAAAAACAGAGAAATAGTATTCGTATTAAAACTTCGTCATATTCTGTAAAAACAAAAAACTCTCGACAATTGTTAATTATCATTTAATTGAAACCCAATTTCAAATGTTCGATTCCATGGATAGTAAACATTGTCAACAGTAAATTCATTAGTTATTGTGTTTCCATACGATATAAAACCTTTTTGAATAAATCTTTCATAAAATGTAGGATCATTATTAAGTTTATCGGATGGATCGAGTGATACATATGTAAGATACAGCGAAAGAAGTTGACGAAGATTTGCTTGATATTTAACATCTTCCATAAAACGATATAGCGTAAATCGACGATTTTCTTTTACGACTTCATTTGTTGATTTATTATTCAAATAATATTTAAGTAAAACGCCATTACTTAAACATGTACCTAGTGTGTTTCCATTTGTATTCCATCCCGCGTATGCATAAGTGCCAAATCGTGTTTGATTTAATATCCATTGTGAAAAACAAATGTCACCTCCATTACTATAACGTACATCAGCATAGACAATAATAGATTTATTTGTTTTAATATCTAATACAGAATAATCTTCACAAGTTTGTAATTCAGGTGCTTCTTGTTGTGTATCTGTTGACCAATTGTTGACGAGAACAAGTATATCAGCAGATGTTTCATTCTCATATTCGATGTATTGTCCGCCGACAGCTGTTATCTGTTTAAGAACACTTGCATTAAGTGGTGCTCCTTCATAATTCGGTATATAATTTTTTGTTGTTACATTTCTAAAGACTACACTGAATGTTGGTATCGATGATTCTTGTTGTTTTTGTTCATTATTAACAACAATTTGACTAAGTATTGCTAAACTAACTTCATCAGCGCCAGGATAAATATTTACTTTTGAACTTATATTAACTGAAGGATCATTGATTAATTCAATTAATTTTCTTTCTTCAGCTTTATTTAATCCATATTCAGCATTATCATCCAGTGTTAACCAAATACGTTCGAAATAAATTTTCATATAATCATGTAAGAGTGTATAAGTTAAATTATAATTTCTTGCACGTCGCCATATAAATTCATCGAGAATATTCGTTGGTATTTGTTTTTCTAAACTTTGAACTTGCTCTTCATCGGCTGGATTATGTAGTACAGCATATCGGTCGCTATAAAATGACCATAAATAAATAAGACGACCGTATGTAGCCCAATAATCAGGCTCTTCGAAATCTCCATTATATGCCGGTATGCGCATTATAACAGAACTCAAATAGATTTGAAGTTTAGAACCAAATTCACGTTTTAATCCAACTAATGTATTTAATCTTGAATTTAATTCATCATATGAAGTATTGCTAATTCGACTATTGATAAGACCACCATAGATAAGTTGTTCTGTTGATATCAATAATGAACATGACGTTGACATTGAACATGAAGTTGTAATTTGATCATGTATCCATTGAAAAATTACACTTGTATTTGCTGGTTGTTTCCAATGACTGATTAAGTCTATAGGCGGTGTTATGATAGTGAAGTCATCTTTGATAAGACGAGCTAGATTTATTACGATTGATCGTGTTGTAAAACGTTCATCTAGTGGAATGAATATAATTGTTGCTTGGGGTGTGGAATTTACGATAGTAAAATATTGTGTGGTAATAGTTAGTAATAATAAAAATAATTGAAGGCGATTCATAGTAGAAAAGTTTTTAATAAAAAAGAATAGTTAAGTTTGGTTTTGTTTAGAAAAATATATTGATGAGAAAATGATCACGTGCTGAAAATCAACATTGCTTTGTTAAGAAGGATTAAATAACAAATCAATTTTTTCCTTAGTTTCTTTTAATAGATTTTTTAAGTCAGCTCATTTATAATTAAAAATAAATCGGATTTTGGTTTTGAGAAGAAAATTAAGGTCGAATAATTCAGTGTAATAAAACAATCCTTTTGACAAAAGACAAAGATACCAAGTATTCTAGTTACATAGAAAAAAAACTGAAGTTCAACTATAATTTGATTTGATAAAATAAAAGTCTATTGAACAAGTATTTGATGCACAATTATTATAAATTTCGTGTCGATAAAAGTAGAATTACTATATTTTCCGCACTGGGAAAGAAATTTCGCACTTTTTCAAACTTGTTCTCTGTTACTTAGTTGTATTCAATTTAATTATACCTTCGAAGCGTGTTCTTCCCAGTAGTTCGAGCATCTTCAGGCTCGTATTACAATAATTATATACTATAACGATTTGACATTGCCGACAAAACATGCTATTTTTATCCAAATTATTTTCCAAGGTAAACTGAATAGATTATATTTTGAAAACAGACTACTTCGATAAACAAATTCGCTCATATGATCGTAATTAAATTTAGTCGGCCCTGACGAGTTCGAACATTCGAATATGAACAGAAGTCATATTGCGTACAAAGACGACTAGATAGATAACTAATCGTATTTAATTAAAAGCTGATAGAGCAAAACAGGTACTGCTACTAGGATTTAATAAATGTATTTAATTTTTAATGCGATGCGATGCGATGTGAAGCAGAAGCATTTATGTAGTCCGTCGCGAGTTTTTTTTATTTTTTTTATTTTTTTATTTTTTAATGCGATGCGAAGCAGAAGCATTTCTGTAGTCCGTCGCGAGTTTTT